TATTGGGGAGCCTATTTCCTCTCCCAGCGCTCCCTATCCCGCCGCTGTGACAAAACGGGAACCCCATTATGGCAAAAACCCAGGGAGGGAGGGTGGGACAAACTCAGCCAGGTAGGCAAGTTAAAAGTAAATTTTCCAACATGTCTGCCTGCTTATATAGCCCAGCCCCTTAACCCTCCATTAACTAATCACATTAGCTTCCTCCTATGCCCGCATCCTATCCCCTGTCAAGGCCCCTTTTCACTAAGCTGTGCTTTTATTACATGAACTGCAGCCTTTATAAGCCCTCACTTTTTTCACTTCACAGGTTAATAACTCATTGAGAAGCCTCTGAATTCGCACACACTGGCTCGTTACGTGTGTGCCGGCTCATGCGCGCGAGCACACTTCTGGTCTGAGTCTGCAGCTGGTCTGAGGTCTGTGAGAGGGAGGCAGGCATGATCAAATAGAGCGTGTCTGCCACTTCCATTAGCTCAGGGGAGCTAACGGAGGTAGGAAGGAATCCTGCCTGACTGTTTGATTGACAGCCAGGGGGGAGCCCCTAGTTAATTTATAAAAGTGCTGATTTCTCATAGAAAGTACTTAAACTGGTGTTAAACCAGACTACTCCTCACCCATAAAGGACTTCAGCAAGCTGAAGTGCTTTTGGGGTGTGGAGTGGCCCTTTAAGCAGTCAATCACACCCTCATGATAAATAATTCTTCAAGAAAAATAACATTTTTGTAAAAGGTGTTAAGTAGTTGCATAAAACTACAGGTATTATTATTAGTCAAATATAAAAAAGGTTACATTAAATATAAGAAGAATATGTAATATATGTATTTATAACTGTAGCTTTATATGAAATAAGGACATATAAAAAGTGACAAGTACATCCCATTAGCACACTGTGCATCCTTCAGAAACTCTGGTTTGGAGAATGGCCTAGTGAAGTGCAGAGATATAGAGTAGTGCATTTGGAAGAACTAATGGTATGGTGTGTGTACTCCATGGTGAAATAGCTAAATGAATATTAATTTTTTTTTAAATGCAAATTTTACTGTGATGGGAAAAATCCACATGGAATAGTTTTCTGTAAAGAAAATTTCTGTGGTCATTCAGTTACTCTAATTTATGATATTTTAACTGCCCCCCCTTGATTCTTTACATAGGGATGGTTAGTAGAAACAAGCAAATTCATCCTTGCCTAAGATAGTCACTGTGTGGTTAATTCTGGTCTATTTAGCCTCCAAAAATATGAATGCATATGTCAAACTTTATTACTTTCAATTTGTTTCCGATTTTTCTTCTTTTTTGTAAACAATACGGTTTTTATGAATGCGCATGTTTAATTTTTGCTTATCATAAGCATATTCTTCTTGAAGCTGTGTGCTTTACAACAAGTAACTCCTGGCATACTATTTTAAGTCATATTAGTGTTAATCGTGTATTCTTCAGTAACGGTGCTTACATAATTTCTGACAGGCTGATGTAGGTTCTTAACATCATGAGGATCCTTACCTTACACAAAATATGATCAGGCTCCTTGGCTACATCTTACAGTAAAATGAAATACATTTTTAGAAATACTAATCACAGAATGTCATGATTTATTAAGAAGGCATACTCACCAAGCTCTGTGAGAGATTATGATTACATTTAAAACATGGACTATAAGTGATGTTGGTGGAGAGGTCACATAGACATGTCTCCCAAACCATTCCTATTCTGGCGGGACAGACACGATTTTCAAGACTTGGTTCTTTGGGAACTTTTGTGAACATAAGGGAACTGTCCCCAACAAGCATATCATGAGTGCATTATGAGATTGGCTTGTGCTATGTTTTGGGCACTATGACTCTGCACAGAGCACTGAAACAGTACTCCCTGCAGGGTCTGCCTTCCGGGGATTGGCCTTACATGATATGCAGGCAGTTTGGTATTTATGCACACCAGGCTGATCTGCCAGTAAAGAGGCAGATCCACCCCCATTCTGGGCACATCTGTCCTTTGGGGCAAGGCCATTGATGCAATCATGTCATTGGTCCTCCGCCCTCCCGCCGGCATCACGATTTTATGGACTCGGGAGTTGGATGGAATGCATAGATATTACTACAGTCAATAGGGGATCAGGCTGAAATACCAGTTCAGTGAAGCCTATTTCTTGCTGTAGTGGTTATATTATTTAGAGTCCCTTTAAATAATGCAAGGAAGAGATTTTATAATGTAAAAATCATAAAATGGATTTCAACATAAAATCTTTTGTATTTTTTTAATTAATATTAATATATGACATTGCTGCTTCTTGTTTTTGACTAAAATAACAGATGTGGTTTCTATGTTAGCACTGCTCAGGGTTTTTTAAAGGAAGGATAAGTTTCAATCATAGCAATATTCTCAGTGAATAGATATATATGTTGCTTTTAAGTTGTTTGTGTGTTTTACAAGAGCACCAGATGAAACTTCATGAACATTTGTAGTTGTGCTGTAGCTCCTGTTCTTTACGTATAAATGCCTTAACAGGACGACATCCAGTGCTGTTAGTGTAGCCCACACAGCCAACCAAACCTTCTAGGCTCACATGCAGTCACCATTGATGTAACAAAAAAATATGAATGGTTAATTGTATATTGTCAATTCCAAATGTCCCGATTTTTGACTTGGGACTTCAGACAATCTATATTTACATTGCTGACACCAGACACTCAGAAAGAAGCAGTGGATTACCAGATAGTGGTGAATGTTCACTATGTGTCCAATGAGGAGCATGTGATTGCACAAAAGTCATTAGAATCCAAGTACCGGTAGTTTTTATGGCAATTCTAATATTTTTTAATTTAAGGGCGAGGGAGTAATCTAGAGCAGTATTTTAATTAACATTTTCCTTTAAAGGTTATCCTGCTTATCTTCCACTTTACTTTAGCGGTCACATTTTTATTCTGTGATTAAGGGCCCTGTGTTGCCAGTCATTATGGCCATAATGCAGCTGTGCGTATGAATATATCTGACCTAGTTTTAAAAATTAATTTAGAACTTTAGTTAATGCTGATCCAAGCACTCAAAAGAACCCATCTACTCTATCAGACTCCTTTACAGCTTACTGTGAAGGATCCCAAGCCATGACTCATATCAGCTTAGGCAATGTTTCATTCATGTTATCTAATGGAACCGCTGCCAAGAGCTGGACAACATGTTTTCATTATTTACTTTGCACATTTGGAATTCATTATCTAAAGAAAACATTAAAAACTGGAGTCAACACCAGCTTGGCGTATCAGATCATCTTGATTTTCATGGTATAACAACACCACTTCAAATATACTTTGTTTATACATATGTTTGACAAGCCAAATTTTCAAATCCGTAACTGAAGCAAAGATTTCATTAGTGGAGTGATAGACATTTACAAAAAATACAAATATTTAAACAATTTGGCTAATGGTCTGCCGATTTAAAGATTTTACCCAGTTCATCTTAATTTTGCCAATTGTCACCTCACCACAGCTCATGTTTTAGTGAAAAGACCTATATATTATGTATAAATAACCATATTTCACCATTGTCAATCACACAAAGAAAACCTATACTTTCATTCAGGTCACTTAAAGGACCACTATAGTGCCAGGAAAACATACTCGTTTTCCTGGCACTATAGTGCCCTGAGGGTGCCCCCACCCTCAGGGACCCCCTCCCGCCCGGCTCTGGAAGGGGAAAGGGGTAAAAACGTACCTTTTTCCAGCGCTGGGCGGGGAGCTCTCCTCCTTCTCTCCTCCTCCGTTCCTCCTCCTGGGCTGAATGTGCACGCGCGGCAAGCGCTGCGCGCGCATTCAGCCGTCGCATAGGAAAGCATTTACAATGTTTTCCTATGGACGCTGGCGTGCTCTCACTGTGAAAATCACAGTGAGAAGCACGCAAGCGCCTCTAGTGGCTGTCAATGAGACAGCCACTAGAGGATTAGGGGGAAGGCTTAACCCATTCATAATTATAGCAGTTTCTCTGAAACTGCTATAATTATGAAAGAATGGGTTAACCCTAGAAGGACCTGGCACCCAGACCACTTCATTAAGCTGAAGTGGTCTGGGTGCCTAGAGTGGTCCTTTAATCTGTTGATTATTAAATGAACACTGTTAGGATTACAAACACGTATTCCTAATGTTAGCGTGCTTTTACAGTTATTTACCTTATTTCTCCCAGCTCACAGTGACAGTTCCACTTTAAATTTCTGAGACTGCAGGGACAAACCCTTTAAACAACAGTAACACAACAGCTTAAGGGGACACTATGGGCACCAGACCACTTAATCTCTTTGAAGTGGTCTGGGTGCATCGTCTCTCCTTTAGAAAAACTGCAATGTTTTTATGTACTGTGCGTGTGCATTAGGTTCCCTATCACTATCAATGACATTGAAGGAGGCAGCCAGCTTCAATGGGTAAATGTTGTTTTTTTTTTAATTAACCATTTGATTACCACGGGACATTTTACTTGTTTACGATAGGGTCCTAATCAGTTGTGATTGGTTGAAGACTATTACAGGACTTCACTATCAATCCATCTATTATGCCCTCCTATTTTAATATCTTTAATATCAAAAGTGTAGACCAAAAGCTCCTTATATTCTGCAGTCATGCAGTCTGACTAGTAATAAAAAGTGAGCTACAAAATATTAAAGAAATACTTTAACACGAGAGTATGCTAAATGCACCCTTTCTGGTTATAATATTCGCACAATTGTATGCAGCATATTAGAGTGTGCATCCAGTTTTTATTTTATAAATGACAAACATTTTTGAATAGTAAACTATGAAGAATATTTAATTTAATCCATCAAGTTTGTGTTTTTTTTCTTCTCTAAAATTTACTTAAAATTGATTTAAAAATGCAAATAGAAATTCCCATTGACTTTAGGGTGAGCTACATGGTCAGCCATCAATGTTCCCGTGCACATTTGTCTCACCACTAACACACACCTATGATCATTATCTGCTATTATCATCATAATAAAAAAACAAAAAGCACAAAAATTCCATAGGAAAAAATATTTTATTTTTTAAGAACAAATTCAGTTTCAAACAGACGTGGAATGTGAAATTTCAGAGCATTGTTGTCTCGGCGGGAACAGGAAGGAGGACTAAATACAATGTGAAACGAAAGCAAAAATTGTAAACCTAGGAAAGGCTATTTTTTTTTTAAAAAAAGGAAACAAATATTTATAAACTCAGGCATAATACTGTGTTACTTACAAAATCGGACAAAAATTATTTTAAATAAATATTCATGGTACACAATTACGGCACATATATGCAGCAATTTGGCAACCTTTTAACTTTTTCTTCCTCATTACAGTGCAAAGGGAAGTGACACTGCCTTTAAACAAGCGGTAGCTAAATACATTGCAAAAATTCAATTTTATACAAAACATTTTGCTTAGACTTTGTAAAAAAATCCAACATTGCTCTATATACACAATCTGGTTAAGAAAATCCATTTTCGGTCTTTTTTCCCATGTGTAATTTTTCTCAATATTAATATTTAAAAAGCTGAATAAGGCTACGGACACACCCCAAATCCAGACACAGTTCTCAATATATTTACAGCATCTTCACTTTGACGTAATGGTGCAAATTCTTAAGTCAGATGACTAAGGATCAGATGATCTCACAAGCAAGGCATTTACAAAAAACGTTCCAAACCTGAACCAGCTTCTAAATAAAAGGGAACAGTTTGAAGATTGTCATTCAGCGTCACACATAAAACAGACAAAAAGTAAAAGGTTTGACACTGCTTGCAGGTTGCTTTGTTTTATCAATGGAACTGATTTCACAGCTTAATACAAAATGACATTGCCAACCAATGCTAAAAAAAATAAAAAACACAAAAATGTGTGCACCTTTCCGCAATACAGAAGCCATTTTAGGTCTGTGGTACAGAATGGGTTAATCATTTCCAATTATCTTTCTTGCTTTTGTTGGGAGAAACAAAAAAAAAAAATCTATATTTCCTCCCTCCCCCCCACCCCCAAAAAAAAATATCTTCACGGAACATAAAGAAATGCCAAAGTACATAATGTGGGTGTTGTACAAGCTATGAAAGACTTGCCTTACACCCTGTAACTGGCCTTACAACTATGCATTCATGTCAACATTTTAAGGTTCAGGAAAATAGAGAGCAACCTTTGCTGTGACAATTTATATTTGCAGGTGCTCCTTAGAGATGCAAGAACCTCAAAATGCTGCTAATTTTTTTTCTTTCCGATTCAGAGAGCAAAGTGTTACCATAGAAACAGGACTGTGTTGATGATATCTGTTTTGCATAGCACATAAATGTAGGAGAAAAGAGGGAGAGAAAGAGAAAAGAGGGAGAGGAAGAAAGAGAGAAAGAAAATATATTGCACTCTGTAACCTCCTGAATTCTCATAGCATTGTTGCATTAAGGCAAAAGGAAATTATAATGCAGAAAACAATTTGCAGAGCATCTTCTTGTCATTGTTAGATCCATGATGCAGTAACACTGATTTCCTGCTTTTTTGGGTTTGAACTTCCTAGTCTGCTCTTGTGCAAGACGCCTTTCAAGGTCTTTGTTGTTCCTAAATTTTCTCACTATTGTTATTTTTGGAAATGTTTTTATTTCTCCCCCAGAAGCAGGGTCAAATTCATTTGGCTCTGCAAAAGACTGTTTAACTGCTGTATAATGGATTTCACATCTTCTGGAGGGGCAGGCTGTGCAATTTTAAATTATATATTAGTAAAATCTTTTTACTATATATCCCCGTGTGCTATACGCCTATTAAATAAATCTTTTTTTTTTTTTTTTGCAATTTTTTTTACTTGTTTCCTGCTCTCCATATTAATAATTAATTTTATTCCTATGACTTATATGTGCTTTTCTTTAAAACAGAGCACCAGTGAATTGCCATGTTAGCCACTGCAAAAAAAAAACCAAAAAAACTATGTTGCAGTCCACTGGGATATCTTTACCACAAAGCAATGGTGTCCAAACATACTCCTTATGTCCGATAAGATGGTTCTCCAAACAAATAGTAAAAAAAAAAAAAAAATCTCTTTTTATCTAGTAACTAAAATGATTATTAAAAAAACAAAAAACATGGAATAAACATCTGCTCTTTGACCATCGGTTCTTAAACCCATAGGTCGGATTTGGCTTTCTGCTATTATCATGAAAGCTTTCCCTATCTGAGGATTAATATGGTCAAGATAGCACCTGAGCCTGTCAATAAATTAATACACAACAGACTAGGAGTTTCATAGAACTTCCTTATGTTTATTGCCAGTATCTCCTCAACACAACATTGACAACTTACTTTTGTCCTTCTCTATCTGCTTATTCATTTGTCTAACAATACTTCTTTGTTCTACTGTAGTGAAGGTACTACGGATCGCTGCGTTCTGCTGTTGGATGTAAATTCTTTTGTTTAGCATAGTTCCACTGGTTGTATCTCTCGTCACTCGCAACAGAGATACCAAAGTGCTCTTCTGCCTATAAGATTCTGTCTTAAGCTTAAGTCTAGAGACAGCATCATTGGACTGCATTCTGCAGTTTATACTGTGGACTCCTTGCCGTGCTGGCAGGCTAAGTTCTTGCTGGAAGGCTCTGTATTAGCAAACACAATTTCCATAATATATTACCCATTCAAGTGTGACTGCAGAAGGAATGGATGGAGCAGAGACTGCAAAGATTAATTTTCCATTAATGATAAAGGAGGTGGAGTGAAAAGGAATATGATTTACAGAATGGTAATGAAATCAAGACAACAGGTGAAAATGAATCAGTGATTGACTAACAGCAATAAAACATCTTTAAAGTCTTAGAAGAACAGGCCTCTGTGACAATTCCAGTATGCACTGAGAAAGCTGAGATTTCATGTGAGTCGATTGCCTTTCCAGATAAATATCCTAAAGCATCTTTAATTTACCTAAAAATGACTAAGGTCCTTGAATTGCTCCATGGTAACCTGGCTTTATGTATATGTTTGAACGTCTTGAGATCATGGCTTAAAGGAAGGTGAACATGACCAGGGTATATCTATCAGAATGGGCATCTTTTATAAAGTCTTCCAGCTTGCAGTGAATATTTTTTTTCCTACCTACAGGAAACAGATTCCATAAGCTATCCAACTCATGGAGACTCTCTCTGAAGAAGGGTTTTCTCTTGTGCCTCTTCCTTATGCAAGTCCACTTTAATGCATAAAGAATCACCAAAAAAAACCATCAGAAAGCAATGGACCTTTAGTGTCCTCTACATGTCATAAGGTACCACATATGTTCTTCAAACTTTGTAGTAAATATTTGCTGGACTCTGAGGTGGCATCTCCTGAACAATGTAAACAGGATGTCCATAATCTCCACTGACTTTTTCATAATGAGGGCAGAATACACTGTCTGCAGTCCTTAGAGGGATGATAATGTCACTTGGTTCTGAACCATTATTGTTGCCACTACGCTTTGGTGTGGCTAATGTACTAAGTGACAAAGTGGTTGTGTGCTGAGGTGAATGCTTCCTGTGTCGTCTTCTATATTTCAACAAAAGCACCACCAGCGTGATGATGATGACAATGAAGATGATGCATCCTGAAGCAATTCCAGAAAATAAGGCCACCTCGGATCCTAAGATGCTTGAATGTCCAGCATTTTTTCCTTGTGTGCTAGAACCTAGGCAAATGAAACAGAGGATACAGATTTAAAATAGCCCAAGCTGCCATCTTACATTTGCTGCAAAATTATTCTCTGCAGGATATAAAGAATTAACTATCTGGCAACTGATCTTTGACAAAGCAATTACCCTTTCAGGTAGTTGTTTTCAAACAGTGGGAGTCAGCAATCAATATTAAACAAGGCTGTCTGGAAAAACTGGCACTATACCATGTTGTTCTTGCTATATATATCACCATCTATCAAGAAATTGTAACAAAGCTGTCAACCTAGACTTAACATTTATTAAGGCTCGAATCTATTTCCAGAGACAACTTTAAATGAGTAGCAAATGTCCTGATGAAGTCCATATTTAATTGTGTTTGTTAAACTTAGCTTAGGTCGTAGAATTCAGCTACCATCGATCTGTAAGTAGCAATTCTACAAATAATTCTGTAGTTCCGATAAGGTCACGGATGTTCAAAATACTGATCAACACATTCATTGCACTAGGGGTATGCAGTACTATTGTCTTCTTGCCATAGCATTTGGTATCTCTGCATATTCATTAGTGCAATATAATTTTATGAACTAGATACAGCTTTCAAGACCGTATCAGCGCAGAATAGTAATTTATTTGCATTCATGAAAGCCAAAGTTAATTTGGGCAACATAGTAGAAATATTACTGATTCAGCATATTTAATACACAATTAACTAAACAAATGGAAGCACATCTGGTGTACAGTAAAAGAAAAAAAAAGTGTCAGAGTGAACATTCTGATATGCAATGCTCTCAGCATGCTGTGAATTCATTAGAATAATAAGCATGTGTAATATTTTATGCTGTACACAACATTTACCAGTTTTTGTAACCTAGTGTTCCACCATTTTGTAGTTGTCTAATCTACAGGATAGACTGGTACTATCCTCTCTGATACTTTTTCACCAGACCTGCTGGTCGAGTGAAAAGGCTGTTTAGTTTAATAAGCACGTATACACTAACGCACAGTAAGCAACCTTATAGGAAGTCAATATTGCCTAAGACTCCTCCCATTTGATTATAAGATATGGGCATTTGCCGCACAACATATTTTCCAAAAATGTAAGTTTTAGATGAAATGTTAATTAAAAATAAAAAAAGTCAACTCGCTATGTGAAACTTTGTACTACTACCAAATGAAGGACGTTGTAAATGTGCTTTAAGGGACATTGTAGGCACTGTCTCTGCTTAGTCTCATTAAACTGGTTATAGTGTCTATCCCCTGGTGCCATAATTTAATTCAGCATTAAACAGCTTTTAATGTTTTTATGTTTTAAAGCTAAACAAGAGTCTCCAGAAGTCCATCCCCTCTGTGCTTCCTAATGAGGAAGTATAAACCTGAGCAGCAATGGGCAGCTGTGATTGGTTGAGAGTTTCAGCTGACTGTTTTTAGCCTACCAGAGCTCCAACTGACGGTATGAACGGGTATGACTATAAGGAAGTGTGTTTAACTGCTCTAAAATAGTTTAACATCAAATGGAGTGACAGCGCCAGGGCACTCCACCAACTGCACCCAATTAAATTAGATAAAATGGTTATAGTGACTACAGTGTCCCTTTAAAGTTATGTGTATATTATTCACGTAGTTGAACAATGTTACATATTATTTACACAGTATGCTGTGGGTGCAAAGAAAGCAATAGAGGATTAATTATGTGAGTTTTATTAACATCTAGAATGGTGATATGTCTGTTTAAAAAATAAATGTGTGTACCTGCAGGATCTTTGACAAATGGACTAGTTGTAGAGCTTTTTCCATTTGTGCCTGATTCTTGATCTGGACGTCTGGTTGGCAATGCATCTTTACCGGAACCAGAGTCAGGATCTACAAAACAGAACAAATTAATAAATATATGGTTATACACTGTGTATTTTTAAAAAAATATGAGGGTTATTTATAAAGAACAATTGAAGGCAGAGGTTTCAAATAGTGGAGTTGCCAGTAGGAACATCCCATTGACATTCATGGCAATCACTTTGTCCTACAATTGCTCTTTATTAACAACCCTTGATGTATCAGTTCATCAGGTTCTTATGTATAAAAGACAAGGTGGATTGTAGCTCATAAATGGCAATAATACTAATAATAATAATAATAGAACAGTTATTTAAGCTTGCTTCATTCTACCTCAAAAGAGATATTTGCAATTTGTCAACATTCTGTTGCATTCAAAACTAAAGTATTGAGTCAAAGGTGATTCCTACCACTAGTCAGAAACAATTAAATATATATATATATATATATATATATATATATATATATATCATGCACAAATGAAAGTGTGCCAGACAGCTATATCAAGTCCAAACAGGGACTTTATCTGTGCACTTTAATAAGCATAAATTAAAGGTTTACTTTAAGAAAACATGTAATGCAAGTTATTTTAGACGTCGAGATTGCAAGACCATCTGCAGAAACTATGGGGATTCTCACAGTTGGCAAGCAAAGCTTTGCAGATGACATTTCAATTTAACGGAGCTAGTTGATTGACTACAAAACCAAGTTCTAATTAGAAATATATTTCATTTTTGACACATAGTTTATCAATAGTGTCGCCCATAAGTATTTGGACAGTAGCTTTAAATACTCCCGAGCTCAAGCAGGCCAGTCTGCATTATTTCACTACTCGTGTAAACATTTCAAAGAAAGGGTTCTGAAGTACAGTGCACACACATTATCACATAGACGAGAGCATTAAAAATTGTCTCACCTTGCCCGACTTTCATAAGGATCTTCATGGCTTTAGTTACGCAGACTCCTCCCTCCTGGTTATCCACACCCTCTATGGAGCCATTTGATGTAGCTAGAAAAGAGATCCAAGGCAATTGTCAATACCCGTCACATGTTACTTCTACAATTATGACCATTTTGTCTCTAGGCTTGTTTTTGGCAACTTTGCTTTGGCAAATGACTTCGGGCAATTAGGAGACATCAGCTCGTGCATGCAAAACCATGAATACAATATGTCCAAATAATACCAGGAAATCACAATAATGGTGTATCAGTTAATTGCTGCCATTAACAGTAATATAGTCTTTCCCTGTTACATTTTTTGTTTTTACATGCTTGTTTGATTTTACAATATGTAACACGCCTGCTTGAGGAGTACAGTTGTTTCCATAAGAGGTTTAGCATTAAATGGCAGATTTGTAAGGTGGACTATGGCAGGAAACCATATTAACCCTTTTTTATTTTAAATATGATATGCCTTATATACAAATAGGGATACAATTAGAACAATCAGATTCTTATATTTGTATATAAAGTTTATATACACTGATATAGATCTGCAGTGTGTATATTGTATACATGGAACATTAGAACTTCATTCGGTACATTGCATATTTAAAAAACACTCATGGAAAGAACTACTTCTCAAGCTTGCATTTAGCATCACATAATAGCTTATTTCTGAAGTAAGACCTTTGTGCAGCATCCAGTAATTGTCTGAACTCCTCATTTTCCCATTGTATGAGTATAAAGGTTTTGTAACACCCATCCATCTATTGTATGCAACTTTGTGCCTTTCACAGTAACCATACATCATTTACTTTTATTTATATATACACATCAAGTATCATATTCACTTTTACAATGCATACACATATATATATACATGCAGGCTCCTCTTCAACTACCATAGCTCACTATTCGTACATGGGCCTCTAAAGTTCACCTAGAAGAAGAGCTGTCTTCTTTAGAGCTGTCCTGCTGACCATACTACCAGAATTACCAGAATTACCCTATTGTTAAGTCACTAAACATCCATACAAACTTATTGTATAACTCCTCTCCATACTACAGTGTACATATGTCTCACCTCATGCAGATCTTATTCCTAGTTTGTTTCACCCAAACTACTTATGCTACAGTAGCCACTTAAAGGGATACTAGGAATACAAATATGTCCCTCCCACTCTCACCACCACCCCTTCTGCGCTGCAGGGGTTAAAAATCCTTGTAACACACCCGCTACTAGAGTCTGTTATAGTGAGGCAATGTAAACATTGCAGTTTCCCTAAAACTGCAATGTTTCACATTGTAGGATTAAACGGGACAGGGCCATTGTACCCAGACCATTTCAATGAGCTGAAGTGTTCTAGGCAACTATAGTGTCTCTTTAAAATAAAATACATAAAATATTTTTTTTAAAACAGATAGACCTGCCATTGCTCCTTCTCTTATGGATAAATCACTCTTTACATATGTAATTATACTGCACTTCATCTAGACATTAATCATGGCCTTCCTCATGTCATATAACTATTCTGCTCAGTATGTTTGATTTGTTTATTATATCCACTGAACAGAACTAAGAAAAATGGTAGCACTAATTTTAAAGAATATGCATAAACATTCTGAGTGAAGATTATATATATATATATATATATATATATATATATACACACACATACACACACACATACACACACACACACACACACAAACACACAGTGCAGACATTTGTTGGGACTCTCTTTAAAGTATTCATTTGTAGGTTTTACATTCCAATATACTTCTACAGTGTTGCTTTTCTAGAATCATTTTCTCAAATCCATTTTTATTTTAAATCCTTCTCAGAAAAAGAAAAGAAAAAAAACTAGCAATAGTAATCTAATCTATGAGTATATCTGACAGCGTGACACTAGAACACAAGACTCACAAAATAATGGAGACATCGGGTTTTTTTTTTTTGTTTTTTTTTGCGGAAACAAAAATCAATACCAAGCAGCAGCCCAAGACATAAATCAAATGTGTCTGTGATAAAAGTGTTTTTTACAACCTATTTGCGGATGTAAAGGCTAGCAAGATAGAGAAGAAATAGGTGCAGAAAACCTCAATACTGTGCTGTAACTGTAGATGAGACGGTTTTAATTTAATGAAAACTGCATGGTGCCCCTGCCCCAACAAATCCAATATATTTTACATATACATACATTATATATAAACAAATAATGTGCCGCATTCACATATCGTAAGATTGTTTTTTCACAACAATCACAAAATGCCATGAAAAAGTGCATAAACATTAGTTTAGTCTGCTAATTTATTATCAGTTTATTTTTGATTATTTGTTTGGTGGTGGAGGGGGTGTTTGCTTTACCCAGATTATGAACCAATGCCTATTTTTACTGCGTTAGGAGTTTGAGGTTTATCAGCATGGCACTGGTGTGTGTGGGCCATGCTTGGATTATTGCAACCATTAATTTGTGGTGAGCAATAATGAACGAGCATGTGTCCCAACTGTCCACTTTCGGGATCCTGTCCCGCTTTTTTTATTCCCTGGTGTCCTGCATTTGAGGTCCCCAGGCAACACAGCATGAGTGTATCAACAGACGTGCTCACACTGTGCAGAGAGCACTAGGATCATGCAGAGAGCACTTTAGCAGCGCTCTCTGCATATTCCTCTATGAAGGAAACTGTATCGAATACTGGTGTGTTTAGTGCAAGGCACACATGCCAAACCAGTGGAGGTACCGTCTACTTTTTGGGCAGGATCACCCATTTAGAGGCACCATTTAGGGGCATCACCAGTTAAACAAGATGTGTCTCGGGCGACTCTCCCTCCAAAGGTCCGTCCCCTTCCGGATTCCAGCCGAGGCACAGTTAGGAGGTATGAACATGTTAGACATTTGGTATCACCACAATAGTCTATAAATAAACCCTTACACACACCTAGCAGTCCTGTCTTCATTAACCCCACAAGGGGTTCATGTCACATCTGGAGCTAGAGCATCAATAGAACAGTTTATTACGCAGCCTTCACAATCTAATTCAAGGAAAAAGGTGTGTATAATAGAATGCCAATGTAAATCTTTCTCAAAACAAGTAATACTGATTTTAACAACCACATGTAATGAATATTAAAAAAAAACACTGTTCAAGTAGGTTTGCTGGACTTCTAGTGATTTATATTCATTGTTTTCAGTAAAGTATGAGAGCAGTTACATTTATACCTTTGTTTGCCAAAGGAGTTTTTACTTTTTAACAAAGATAAAAAGAAAACAAAGAAACAAAAACAAAATATATATATATAGTAGACCAAAATAAAATAAAATAATATATATATAGTAGATCACAGTACTTTCATTGTCACCTAAAACAGCTTTGGGCATTTCGAAGCTCATCTTCAAAATGAAGCTTCATCTTGTAGCATAGCGAAAGGCCAGAGACACATTACACCCTTAATTAAAACTGACTACTTGTAACAACCTCTGTGGGGAAATTCAGAACACCAGTAATCTGGATGAATTCCTTTTTTCTTTTTATTCACGAGTACAAGAAAGACTTTTTATTAAGCAAACACACGAAATGACTTTGAGGCCTTTTCTGATATTTAAGGGGTAGTCTCTGTGGCCATTTTGTATTCTAAGTACCAGACAATGACATTTAAAGCAAAACCCTAAAATGGCTAGCTATGTCACTATAGAAACTAGCACTGAGAACAATTGTGTGGCTGGTGTACAGCTTTTAAATGACATTTCAACATTAAATGAGCAGCAGAGGGAAAAATATAAACCTCTGGAAACAGCATATTATAATATTCAGCTATAAATGGGTGTGCTTTTTTATTTGTTAGTTGCTTTTACGGTTACCACAAATTATATGCAGCATTCTAGTTAACTGGCTGGATCACCTTTAAAAATAGAACATAGGAGAACATGAAATAGGCAAATTGATATTATATATTTGAGTTTTCCATTTTTATTGTTTTTTAGGGACACAAAGAAACTGACCCAGAAAGCAGTATGGACAAAAAAAAAACAACTAGGCGTGATGTCTGATGAGGTAGTTTTCAGGCAGTGTGATTTTAACAAATTTTTCCTGAAAGTAGCAGATAAAAAAAAAAAAAAAGTTTCATATAATTTCATGACTTCATTCCACAGAATGCCACAGGAGTGACTCAGTGACTCATACAGGGGTTCTTGATCCAACATAAAAGATGCCCGAAACTCCCAGTCATTTCTAGGCCTAGATATTGGGATGGTTGTTCTATTTACTTTTTCAACAGCAACAGCCATGATTAGAAAGGGTATAACTTTTTTGGACACTATGTACATATATGAAGGTTTACTATCCCAACATGTTCTAAATTATATTATATTAAAAACACATTTTCTAATCAAAACAGAAATAGCTTGTTTGGTTTTCTCTATGGTACGCCTTAATAACACTGCATTTTAAGAAGTGAGTTACCAGTCACTTACCCTGTTACTCCCAGTCAGGAGTCCCATTTGGTGCTCAGGTTACAATGGATCAGTTCTGGTTCAGTCATAAAATCACAACATTAATTTCCTGCTATTTAAAAGGGAATTAATATTCCAAATGCTTTGTTTTTGCAAATGTTATAGCCAAGGAACCTTAAAACGCTGAGGCAAATCTGGAAATGGAATGTGCAATTTACAATGCCTCAGGCTGAAAGCTGTTCCTACTTTAAGAGTATTTGCTTCAATTATTTTATCATTTGCTGTTGATTTTTGTTGTCCTAAGAACAAAGCACTACTGAATTTTTCATTTATTAAGCTTTGCTTGAACATTAACGCTTTTTATTATGTCTTCTGTTATCCTGGAACTTAAGATATCTAATTTATTACTTAATTTCCCTTTCATTTAAAGCATGATTTCTGGATATTTTAATACATATAATATAAATTAGACTTATTGAATATTGTAGGCTGTATTTTATTTAACTGGTGTGCTGCTGACATGAAAATAAATAAAGTGTGTATGATTTCTGAGCTGGAACGACTGCCAATACATTTTCAGTGATTTAATACACATGGTTTGAAACATCCTGTGCAGAACCAATGCCATCATTGGCAACTCAGAGGGATTTAACAGTTCAGAAGTTGGCTCTGGGTGTCCAAAACAAGGTTTGCTGGATACATTTTACATTAAGCATGTTTAGTGTATGAAAATACTGAAATTTAAAGGGATACTCCAGGCTGGAGCTGATTTTCACTCGATCCTTTAACATAACAATAAGGCATTTAGCAAAACTTGGCTATATAAGCAGCTTGAGGTACCTGTTCTGTCTTATTTTAATCAATAACACCCAAGTGACTTCTCCAGACTTTAATTCTGGTGCACACTGGTGCAAAATGAACTTTGCATAGAATTTAGGATAGTAGAGTTAAAAATGTACTCTTTTAACAGCAGTAACTCATGTTATGTGATTGCTATGGTCAGTGATAGAACATAAACTAAAAACACAGAATTAAACTCTGTTCTGTGTATGTATGTTAGCAAGGTATTCATGTGTGTTTAGATATGAGGGTCCATGAAAAAGTGGCCAATGACTCTAAAGTAGAATTCAAAAGTTAGGAGTAAGCGTGCCATTTCAATGCTGTATCCATGTAAGATATAGACAAAGAAGGCCCTCTGAAATTATTGATTTTTAGTTCATTGGTGGGGCAGCACCATTTGTGTTTTAGTGTTTGCAAAAATTCAGACACTGCACTAAAAATTCAGTACCCGTTTCCTGCTTTAATTATAGTCGCCGTATAAATTATGGAATTCAGATTGAAATTTCAGCATTCTTAAGACGTAAGGTAAGCAGATTTGTTGCTGATATCTAACAATGGATGGAGCTAGTCGTTCGGCCCTATATAAAATACAGAGAGATGTTCCAAAGTTCCCGTTACTAACAGATTACGTTTGCAGGCATGACTAAATCATAATTAAAAGGAAAATTGGAAGAAATAAAAATTGATAAAGCTTCCAAGTCAGTGGGGCTCACAGAAACATGCGTACAATATTGGAAAGAGTTTTACAACTGGCACCTGTTAAGCATTGGATGGTGGTGGCCAATAGAATGTTTTTTGGTGCCATAGTTCACTATGGTGCTAGGCTCCTACTGTTCTGTATCAATTTAATATATTTGAATTTGAAAAACAAAAGATTGCTAGAAAAATGAAATTAAAAAACATTTCCACTTTATTCAGCTTCCAAAAATACATATAGTGAACCTGCCGAACAATAAATATAAGTGAAACCTTGAATATTCTTTCTAGTCTTTAAAAGACGTCTCCCAAAATGAAGAGAAAAAAAAAAAAGATACTGAATCAGCAGTTGAAACAGGAGCAGCAAGCACAAGCTGTTTCTGGCTATGATTTTTATATAGTCCCCATGGAAGAAAGTAATATTACATTTTAATATGTCTTCATTTGATCGTTATTACGTTGCCTCCCAGGAGATTTAGCTGCTGCATAGATCTTGGCTGATTTCGGCCAATCAAGATAGTAACACAACACTAATCAGAGCGAGCATTAAGCTGCCTGAATTTAAACCTGTACATATACTTATTCACACGGATTGAACGGAAAATAAATAAAATATTGCCACTAACGGAAAGAGAAAAACAAGTTTTCTCTTCAGGATGACAGTATTGTGCACAGTTTGAGTTCCAGCACAGGTTTAACTATTTACTGCCAGCATTACATTTTTGAAACTATATTCAATCTAAGTGGCAATGCAATCATTGTGTGAAATAAATTACATTGGGTTTTTAAAGTTTAGTTAAACTAATATATATATATATATATATATATATATATATATATCTGCAGTCATATCCGTTTCTGCAGGAGAGAGAGCAAGATAGAGAGTGGGAAAAAGAGGAGGGAGAGAGGGGAAGAACGTAATATACATCTGTAGACTCTGTTAAAGAAATCCTTTCCACTCACTAACAAAAAGTGAAAGGCTTTGGAATCAAGCATTAATAAGAAGCAATCCTTAATGCAAGCTGTACTTGATCTAATGTCCGCTTCAAAAGGATTATCAAGCTCACAGCTCTTTTATCAAAGAAAATCCTTTGGCGGCAAGACCATGCGAGCATGCTCTGGTTGCTCTCATTTGTCTCACACCCTTATAAAGTACCAGCAGGGCACACTGTTGGGTTTATCAGCTTAATTAATGTGAAAGTAGTGACCCGGCTCTCATTTCTAAAAATTGGAATGGAGAACAACAATATAAGCAAAACCAGCAGTCGCAGGAGATTTACCATACTCTTAGAACAGGGTGGCCAAATTTTAGAACACTAGCTGTTGCCTATCTACCACTCCCATGATGCTTTTCCTTGTTTTGGCCAACCTGACCTTTAAGTAGTATATGGTGACAAAAAGTTGGGCATGCATCACTGTATACTGTATTAAATGTCCATGACAAAATTACATAATTAATTTCTTTGTAGGGCTGTATTGTGAATGGTATTTATAAAACACAGCCCCGAATCTGGCATTTAAAAATGTATTTAAAGAGATCTTGCTATCTTCTATCCTATTCCCAATGAAAAAAAACAAAAAGGCAAGAACACTGAAAGTGAGCTAACAAAGAAAAAAAAAAAAAACAGTGTCCAAAGTGTATTGTCTTCCCTGACAAGGAAAGGGTTACACTTTTTAACAAATAATTTGGTTTACCACACCTGGGTGTATACATCTCTGAATCGATGGGTTGACAGGTGCAATGAAGATTTATGAGATCTACTCACTTAACAGTCAGTTTAGGTAAGTGGACAACTGACCTGCAAAAAGTATTCTGCTAAATTGATGAATATATTTTTACTATGCTTTGCCAACACATGACGACTGTTTAGATAATAGATCCCCAAAGTCTAATACTGTTTGTACATTATTATGGAAAAAAAGACTTCCAAATGCCGGTACTCTGTTTACTGAGGTTTTAATACAGCTGTGTATAATTTAACTCTCTGAGTACCAGCAAATTACAAAAAGTGACTGTTCAAACTCAGATCTACAATGCACAGTAGAACTGGGAAAGCAATAATGATAAATATAGTCATAATAAGACTTAAAGAAAATATAATATATAGAAAAATAATTGGCCATTTTGCAGCCCAGTGGGTATCCATTACAGCTGGATAGGTTTTCAGGAAAATATACTTTTCTTTTACACAGCAAGACAGGCAATATTTTTAGTTAATTAGGGAAACAAATGTAATATTACAAAAACTCACCCACTAAAAACCTGCATTAGTAATCATGCGCAGTTTCTACATTATTGAAATAATGTAGGATTGTAAGAGGTTAATTGCCAGAACCATTCGCTGAAATGTATATTTTTTTATTGATAATGCTAGGTGTACAATGCCAAATTCACATTTCTCCCTGTTCTTAACTAATAGAAAAAAAAAATAGCATAACATTTTAAAACAAGGGATTTCTGAAATGCTTTTGAGAAAGATCAATGAAGCGTCACAGTTTATATCTTCAGATCTCATCTCATAATGGGGAATTCTTGTGCTGAAACAAAAGGCATAGTGGGAGCTTATGAATATTCCTGAGCGTAACCTAATCTCTCCTCCCATTAATTGTAATTGGAGCTGTATAATAAAGACATTTCTTTTGGGGGGTGGGGAGAAAAGCTGAATTTTCAACTCCTCCTTTTTGCCATCATAACCATTTCACAGAGCAAACGCAAAGAGACCATTATAATTATTTCTTGTGTACTGGCCTTTGAATAGCTACTAGAATCATTTTAAACCAGAGTGTCTTGATTTAATGAGCACAGATTTCTCAGGCCACAGCTGTCTTTGTGTTGTACCGCTCTTAGCATCCTTGCCGATAGCAAAGAAAGAGTAAGAGAGTGACAAGGACACAAGTACCTTCCCAGGCCGGAGCCCCATATGCCTGCATTCTCTCAAGAAGATCAAATAGTCCTAGCAGTAATAAATTGTATCTCTTCTTCTGCACTCAGCAAAGACAAGGGAGGTTTTCTTATTTAAACACATAATATCCAGCGGAGATTGGGGAAAATAGTGTCTTATTGCCATAGCGATCTAGTGCCTCACTTGTTTCTAGATTAATATAGATTCTGTCATCCAACTAACTCACTGCGTGTAAACACTTGCTCAAATGCATCTTAGCAGCAAATCTTAGCATGTAATTTTATTATGCCAAACAGGTCACTAAAAATGTTCAGTTACATTGTAATGTTGTAGGAAGGATAAATAAATAAAGAGTTCAAATAATTAACCCTTAAAGCACCACAAGTAGACATTTATATGAAGATACATATGCTGTGTCACTGGACATAAAATGGCTAAAGTGGATTGATAGAAACAGATACAAACTAAGCACTGCTGGGAAATAACTAGAAAGTAAAAAAAAAACGTTATTGAAACTATTTCTCCTATTTATCAACGGAAGCATATTCCACAGCATTCTACAATGTGGAATTAAAGTATACAGGTACATTTCAACAAACCAATGTAGTTTAAAGAGCCTTGGTGAATAGGAACGGGTAAGCAGGATTAAACATATGTTGGGGCACAAGCTGTAGACAAACTAAGAATGCCGTTAGAGTCACATTTTTTGTTTGCTTTACTTTATTTACTAATATTGGACCTTTTTAAGTGCAGGTTAGTGTATAAATAACCATCTCTCGGTATTTATATAGCAGTTAAAAAGGGTAATGAACAAACTGGAGGGTCAGTAATGATTTTTTTATATCCTCTATTGTTGTAAAAGGGTCAGATAACCCCATTCCCTGAAGCCCTTCCATTCTTAAATCATAATCATGGTAAATACAAGAACTGTCTCACTGCTGTCCAATATGAAGATTTATGAAGTGCAAATATATTCTACAGCCACTATATAATCTATGTCAATGCAAGCTCATAGATCTGAAATAGAAAACAGCATCTCATAATAAAGGAGTTAAACAAATTAACTTGTTCCAGACCAACCGTATCGGTGCATGTTATTTGTTTCTACCCATGAGATGACCAACTGGAACTGTAATTAATCATTACCAATATTTTGGTATAAAATATTCTTTCACAAATCCGGTGTGTCTTTAGTAATTTGAATCTACCAGCTGAATTCCCTGGCTTACAAAGGTTCATGGTAAGAGAAAAAACAAAAAAACACACGTGTGCTCTACTGGCTCTAATTGCATGCAATGATATTAATGACCTGGTAATTGATGTACAAGTGGCAGTGAAGTGGAAAACATCATTTTGAGGCAGAGTTCATCTCTTGGTGGGGAGATTTCACCACTGACTGAGTTAATGTTAACTGACAGTTTGGAATATAACACTACGGATTAGAAAATACTCCACTCTCATGGTATAATGGCTCAGATGGACGTGATGCTATGTGCTTTGACCGGGCATTGGCCTAATGGCGACTCCAATAAAAATCCACAGTAAGGCTTTGCCCTGGCGGTGAACCTCATTTCTCTGAGGGGAGCTTTGCTATACAATAGCAATCTAGTGCAATTTTCTACATGCTTGGTCTAATGAAAAATAACTTCACCTTGTGATAGTCCTACATCAAAGCACTCAAAAGTATGAATTAGAGATAAGCACAAAACTGCCCATTCTAAAGATATGTAACCCTGTGTCTTACTTGTTGGTAAGATGTACTGACACCAGGTCTTCTTGGCTAAAATATAAATTCAAAGTAGGATTTGGAAATCTCACTATACATATTATGGATCTAACTGAATCAGAAGGCAACTCATTTCCTTTCTTTTCGAGAATTCTAATGCAACAAGCTCATTATACAGAGAATTGTATGTTGCCATCTGCATTTCTAAATTAGAACAATGCAGAATAATTGGTAGTTCAACTGACCTCATTCTATGCTATCACTTACAACAGCGCCACCTAATGCTCTAAACATTCCTCCTAGTTTATGGCAAATATAAACACAACACTAAAGCTCAAGAAAGGTTTTCACATACAACAAAACTGAACTATCTATATTAGAGATTCTTGTTTTGAAAGAGTAAAATAAACCACTTCACTTGGAACACTTTTGTAATCTCCAGTAAATATGCAATCTATGGATCTGTATAACAAGTGCGCAACATTTTCTCTCTTTTAGATATTTCAGTTAGTGCCTAAGATACGTTCCATACTCAAAATCTAATCATCAAATCTTGCATAAGGTATTTGAATCTGGGATCTGGAACATTGACATAAATGGAGGAATAGTTCATTTTCAGATGTTTCAATAGGTATAATGCATTCACATACTTAAGCATGATAAGATGCATATTTACATGTCTCCAGTTAAGGTGAGATGGAATAGCTACTTTAAAAATTACATATGATGGTACATTTAATTGAAATTCCTACCCTTTTGGCTGCTGGAATACACAATTGTATATCTATGTTAGATCACAAAACATTTGTTTTAAAAAAAAAAAAAATCTACTCAAATATTTCTATGCAGAACATGTAAAGCTTCAAGAACTCAACAGCAAAATAACTAATGTGAGGAAGGCTGAACTTGATGGACACATGTCTCTTTTCAGCCTATGGTAACTATGGTAACTATGTAACTATACTCAAGGGTTCAAATCCTCGTAAATAATGTTGATGCATAAAATGAGAGGCACATTTCCAACGCTATTTTAAACAAGTCCTTTTTGATGTCTCCTGTCTACTGTCATTGTGATATTGCACATGCTTTTTAGCCCCCTCATTTTTTTTCACCACAAATCCCAGTCTTTAGCTATCAGAATAATCTTGTTCTTTCACTTGCTGCCCTTGGGAATTTAGAAGTGGCACTTAAATATTTCCTGCTGCAGTATCTGTTCCATTCTTTAAATAAGATAACCCGTCAGTATAGTCACAGTAATAGCGGAATATGAGCAAAGGTCATTAATCTTACAGTCTCATGCTTCTCTACAAGATTTGTGTGGTCTGGGACGGAAATTCCCATATACCATGGCTCCATCAGGATGTGTTAAACCTATGGCATCAATACAAATGTAAACAAATTCAAGGTGCCTGTGTGTTTAAAGCAATTCTACAGAGGCATATCTACTAAGCAGCTAGTTATAATGGGTTTACAGCAAATATTCAGAATTAATATCCAAATGTAAAATACAATAAATTATTATAATTCTAATTGTTTTGTTTTTTCCAGTTTATTAATTTGGCCTAACCTCCTCGAGTCAATTGATAATATACCATAACTATCTGCTCAGTGAATACATTCCCATCTATTTCATAATTCTCGGCAAGAATCATAATATAGCACTGCAGGATTTATTTGGCACATTAACATTGCAGGATCTGCTTGGCACATTCTCATTAGCCAAAGTTCCAGCTGAAAGGATAAGCAGGTAACTATTCACATTTTTCGAGATTTCTAAGGATGCTCGAAAAAAAAAAATTGTAATGCATATTATTGTGAAAAGTTTTCATTATATAGGCACTTTTAAAGATAATCTATCCTTTATTATTTTGTGTGAACTATTCTTGTTTAATCAAAAAATATTTATAAATTTAAACAGGTTTCTGTATTCCAAGGGCCTATGTTAATGTGACTATAGTTATCTTGCGAGCTCAACTCTACTTTCCCAAATCTAAGTAGGCTTGCTGCTGTAAACAAAAGTCAATGGTGACACTAAACAGTTTCTTTGTGGTCTGTGCTGATGGCGATACCAGTTCATTACAAAATTCCATTGCACTGGATTTTTTTCCAATACATCAAAGAATTCTCAAACAGATTTTCTTTTATAGGAGACGAAAGTCGATGTCAAATAAAAATATAACTCATGGGCTCTAAAAATGATGGCTATAACTGTGTCTTTTATTATAACAGTGATTTTACTTAGAAGCTATTTCTTTCATCTGAGAGTAGTCGTCCCCCTTTCTGCAATTGCACTTAGTTACGTTTGGAGACATGCACTCAAAAGCAGGCTAGGAGATCGGAACTTAAAACTACGGAAGAGTCTGGTGGCGTTAACTTGAGCTTCACAGATGCAACATTTCACCGTGAGCTAAAAGGTATTTATTATATAGGGGAACATTTTCCTTCTTGTTCACATCCTGAATTTATTATGTTTTAAAGAGCAGAACTCTATATATACATAAACAGTACGACCGGTATTACCTATAAATACATAGATTAAATATTTGAGTGACAGAGTGTTATTATACTTGCCTATGAGTAGTGCGATAAACACACAGAATTTTTTTTTTGTTAGTTACATTTTGCAAGACAGTTGGCAATTCGCCATGTCACTGTAGTGAAAAAGCCCCATATTAAAGAGAAAAAAAAAAAAAAAGATTTTCCTTACAACTTACTCCAAATAGACAAATATCCTGAACATCAATTAAGCTATGTTTTAATCCAAAGCAATATAATGACCAATTATTAAACGTTTAAAACAAAAATCTAATTTCAGTAAAGAAATCAAAATACATTTTTTCTTACAGGGGCGGTGCACAAATCATTACATTTCAGTAACAATTTTAATCTTGCGGGCAACCTTGCATGAAGAAACTCTGAGGAGGCTGCATTCCACATTAGGAATCAGGTTTCGAATTAGATTGTTAGCACTGAGGCAAGAGAGCAATTAAAACCTCTATTTGATATAGAAAAATAATTCGGACAAAACATTTAGGGAAACCTACTTATTTTAGTTTGTTCATGTCAAAGCAGATGATCGTCTGACTGTAAGCTGAACTAATGAGGTCCGCATGCACGCTGAAGGTTTTCAATCAAGTGTTTCCCAAGGCATTTCTTTTACCCACTTCACAGGTCATAAAAGATGTTAGTAAGCCGAAAAATGATTATATTTCATGATAGTCTGGGCAGTACTTTCAAAAAGGTTAGCAACTAGGCTTTGAGGTCTGGGAACTCAAAGTGTGTCTCTTTAGAATCTTTGATCAGATCTCAGCTAGCATATAATGCAGCTAAATAACCGCATAACAGAGGTATGATAACTTTACACGTTCAACATTTTAACTATTTCTATAACACAAAAGTGACACAATCTGCACCTATATCAAAAGGTCTGTGTATTATATCTACCATGTTTTTCATCATGCAACAATGTCAGAATGTTTTTAAATGCAGAAAGTCAATGCACTGTACACATCCTGCTAGCACTGTTAAGAGTTAAAGGAAAACTATAGTGTAAGGAGTACAAAATTGTATTCCTAACACTAAAGTGCCCACAACCCCCCGGCAAAAAAAGGGTTAAAAACAAAACCTTTTTACACTTACCCTGTTCCAACTCCGATGTCCCCGGCACTGGGTCGAACTCCTCCTCCACCAAATCAGCCGATGGGGGAGGACCTAGTGCCTTCCCCATAGGAAAGCATTACCTAAATGCTTTCCTATTGGGATTTTGTAGACGCTGGACGTCCTCATACACAGCGTGAAGACATCCAGCAGAATTTTAGTCAAACTCCGTGAAACTGCAGGAAGCACCTCTAGTGACTGTTTTACATTGTAGGATTAAGGGGAACAGGGTAACTGCACCTAAACCACTGCAATGAGATGAAGTGGTCTGGGTGCCTATAGTGTCCCATTAAAATACTGATTGCATGCACCTCACCCAATAACTGGTAATAGAAAGCATAGATGAACTATGCCTGGCTTGAACAAAAAGATGTAGAAATAAGGAAAGCATAGTAAGAGTTGCAATCTACTGCAGCTGGAAGCCAGGCAATTCCTGAAACAAAGGCTGAAGAAGATAGCTTGTCTTCATCAATATGTCACATGCAAAAAAGTAGACTTTCATGAGAGAAATATAATAAACAAGTTTTACTTACATATGATGTAATAATCTTTTTTCCTTTGGAATTCCAGTCCCCAGAGATTTGGGCTAAACTCTTGAAATTTGATGGTAAATTTCACATCTTGATCAGGCTTTGCACAGTTCAGTAAAGGTGTTCTGTCCTTTATAGTACAACTGTCTGCTTGCTCTTTATCTACCAGATAAACTTTGTAATATTCATATTGGCCAACAGATTTGGAGTCCATTTTGGGGCAAATAATATCCAGTTTATCTCCTATTTGTGGATATAGTACAAGCCCTTGTCCAGGAACGAACCTAAAACAAAATATACGAGAATTTAAAGTTAAGTATTTTAACAGATTGTCATATCAATATACATATTAACTGAAAAGGCAAGTAGATTATAAAAACAAACAAAAAAACACTTAGAGTGTGATCCATAAGTGATCTCAAAGCAAAAAAACATAAATGTTTCATTATGTTTGTGTTAATATAAGACAAAAAAAGATATTGCATTTTCTGCTACTTTAAAAAATAGTATGTGATATGATAACGCCTTTAACTGTTTCATTTTCCATTACACAAGATAGGTGCAATGATCCATTTCAAATTAAATGTTAAGGAATCCACTTAACACTTCTGGCTCCAACTGGGTGGGCAATATATTGCAATGCAGAACATTAAACTGACAGTAAAATAACACGTTTCTTCTTTAGATCAACAGTTACAGCTATTGGTTTCTACCCCCTATATTTATCTTTTACTTCAAAAGAGTTCAAAGTATTCCTTTTTAATGCTACCTACTGATGGAGGGGGGCATTCATCTTACCAAAAGGTTGAAACCAAAGTTTATGAAAATGTCATGACAGGTAATAGTGAGAGTGCCTAGTTTATAAAGGGCAAAAGTCATGCCTTAAACATCCTCTGTTTCACAGCACTATTTATAGCCACATTGAGAATTGGGCTGTGAATTTTTGTGTCTATTTTGAAGCTGTAGGATCATCGTCTTAGCACATGGATTGCTAGAGTAAGCAAAACCATGTTACTCAACAAGCCTTTCACTTAAAGCTCACAAGTTAGCCTATATTAAAGAAAACAACAAAAAACTATGAATATACAGATTGTGTGTCTGTGCTTATATTTCTAATGACAACTGCCAGCATTTGTATATCTATAAACATTTCTACAAGGTCGACCAACAGAGTTATTTTATCAAGTGAGAATTGCTGAGAATTTAGAGCAAATTTAATATAAGGCCAAAATAGCAGAAATTGAAAATGTATGTAAATCAGCTCTGTATCCAGTTCAGCTACTTGGTCTTAAATTTGAAATGCACTCTGAATTTACTTTAAAATCCCATCAACTGTGCTTTTTTTTGAATAACCCTGTAAGACAGCTTTAGCAAACAAAAGTTGCATGGTATAAAAATTGCTGTTCCAAGGCACTGCTTTATTTGATTCTGCATAACACTTCACAGTTTGGCTTTCCAGCAAATAGAAGCCATCTGTATTAAAAAACAAATTATTTGCACTACACAAGTAAGTAGGTCTTTAATGTTTTCAGGAGTACTGCAGTAGCTCATGAAATGGTTATCGTCAGCATCCTTGGATCTAAGCTGCTCCCTTATATTGCTCACGGCAGATTGCCTGTGGGAAATTGAAACAGGAGATTTCTAATCAACAACCTTTGCGGACCTGAAACATTAAACACCACACTTAGAAATCCCTACTCATTTATAAGCAGCCAAGCCTGCAGGCTCATTAAAATATTAAAGGCTGAGAACAAAGCCTTAAGCCAGGGATCCCTTCATATTAAGCCTAGAGAGGCCACCAGGTAGGTTTATTAATTGCTAAATCAATTCTTGTGTCAGCCACTATGTTTGGTTTTCCACTTCCAGTTCTATCCGTCTGATCTGTCTTTATAGTGACAGCGTTTTGTAAGTGAACATTATGAGTAATCAGAGACAAGCATTAGCATTGCATATTTTAATTCAGCTTTAATGCCAAGTTTAGCTGTCAACGTGAACCTTATCTTAGTATTAAAGAGCAACAAAATGTGTCAAATTGCTAGTCCTGGTATTTAAGGGTTAAATTGGCATTTTCTCTTGTCAAATATTTCATGTTTAGATGAAAAGACTGGTTTCATTTTAAAGAAATCTACTTTTATTATTTTGTTATTTTTTTTTAGAGTTATACATCAAATGTTGGTCTATTTAAGCATAGGAGCTACTTAACATTCTGACAGGGAAGACTGTTGGCTGACCTCAGGTTGACTTCAACACACAATCCACTTACACAGCAGGGGAAGACAATAAACATAAAGATAAGGGAATCAGAAAGTGATACCCATACATTTATCGACAAATGGTAAGAATCTCATTAAAGTGGGGGGAGTAATTTATTTAAAAGCAAAACTTGAAAAATAGGTAGGTTTGTCCATAGAAGGCACACCAGGTAGCTGAGGTAAAGATCAAAATCCCTTTTTTGCCAATTGTTAGCTCCTATGCCAAAGATTATTGTTTTTGGAAGGCTTGAAGGTACTGTGGATATCTGCTTGGTATTAGTAACCCCATCATTAACCAAACATGTGGTTAAAAAGGGAGGGTCAGCATGCCTGATTAAAGGGGGTCCTGGGCACACACAAATTAAACAGTTGGGTAAAGGAAAAGGAAGTACTACCTGGAGAGTCTCAAAGGATTAATAAATCCACACCATTTTTACTTTATTTTTTGCCTTGTACCCATGTGCTGCTTGATTGTATTTCTAATCTTGAGTAATATAAAAAAAAAAATAAAAAAAAACACAAAATACCATTTTCTCCTTATTCGTCACTCGCAATTTGAATTTACCAATTAGCTTAAGTGTTAATGTGGTCTGCCAAGCCTATATTGATACACAAAACCGAAAGACAGTGGACTTCCCAGGTCTGCTTGCAATGATGTCACCTAAAGACTCATTTGAAAGAATAACAGGTTTCCCAGCGCATATTTTAGGGAGGACGTATTTAGCTGTAGAGACTTCCGTAAATTAAACGAAAACGGTGCTTCAGTTTCTTCCATAAACATGCACCACTAGTTATCTAATTATTTTTATTGGAGACAAAGTACATTTATGTTTTCCATAATGCTGAGTCTTTTAGAGATTGTGTAACTGCAGGCAGGCAGTCAGCGAGTATCTGTCAGCCTGGCTGTGTATTTCCTAGTGTGACTTCATCCTGTATGTATGTGTCACTGTATCAGTTTCTACCACCACCCCAATAAATGAACCGGGGCTGTGTGCATTAAAAGCAGATTTGCTAAGGGATCGCTGAACATTTTGCAAGCATAATAGAAGTGGCAGAAGTAAAGCCAAAGTAATATTCAATGGAATCTTGAACAAGAAGTTATGTTAGCCCTTCACACATGTAAAAATGAAAAAATAAAAAATATCAACCATATGTGCGACAGCTCTGAATTATTAGATTTCAGCAAGCCTCCCAGAATGCCCTACAAAATACTTTTCTCCTCCCCCCTTTATGAAATACTCATATCGACTGTGTTGGAATTTCAATAAAATTCAACGAAATACCAAGTCAGTCAAAAGATATAGTGAGGCGTGAGAATACAGCAATGACTTCGGCTCTTAGTGCTGAAGCACCAGGAGCAGATAAGACATGGCTGGAAAAAGATGGCCGCCCCAGCGAGGTAAGTTCAACTCACCTTTGCTTGCACCCCCTCGCCCCTGGCCACTGGACCCCCAGCTGTAATGTCACCGTCGGGAGTCATTGCAAACTGTGCAAAGTTGGAAGCATATTCATATTCATGAAGTCATTCATGGCCTCTTTATAAAACACAGCAAGACGCAATCTGTGATGGAGATCCTGAACGTTGCTTTCGATTAAAAAGCATGCATCTAACATAGATATTAAGGACCCTCAGGGGAGTGTTTGCTGGCATTTTAAGGCTGGACAGTGCTGTCTAGGCATACTTGTACTGCATTCTGAGTGAAATGCTAATTTTCAGTCATTTGCCATCGTCCATTGTATTTGATTTATGATATTAATTTGTCAAACTTCCGTGTATTTTAGAAATATATGTGTGTGTATTTATTTAGGAGAAAAAAAAACTTTTGGGGTTTTCTGTTTGGCTGTTCATATCCTGAACTAAAAAGCTCTTGAAAAAGATAACAATTTGATTGTGCTAGGCCACTGTGGTGTTTGAATGCACAAGCAATCTTTGGTGCTATGTAATTAGTTGCTCTTTCTGGTTACTCTTGATAAATGATGCTTTCTGCTGTGGTTGAGGGCTAGCTCTTGACCCATGACACAGCTACACACTTCACTACTTCAGCTCTGCATCACACAATCTTAAGAGGCCGACTGTCATTTTGCAAAAGGGGGTTTTCAACCCCGTGGGGGACCCCTTTTGTCCTTTTCAGTATTTCCTAACTCACAATCACATATTTCAACTACATGCTGGGAAAAAAAAACCTCAGGCATTCCATACTCATTAAACATCAGTAAACAAAACATGGGCGAGGTACATTAAATGCAACTCTGCCTGGTGACAACATTTTGTATAAACACTTTTCCTGGATAAAGAAAATACTTTAAACAACACAAGCCAAAGCAAAAATAAAAACCTTACATGAATAGCATTTCTCTAGTGTGAATCTTGATGTATCGAACCTTACATGTTTTAGCTACATTGTGCTGCCCATTTTACAATGTCTTGGGAGGCAGCAAAATTAGTTTGTCCCTAACAGAAATGTTCTTCCCTACTTTCATTATAGAAGTAAATGTGTCTATATAGTTAATATAATAACAGAAACTTTAATAAAGCATTATGTCTACTGCTGCCTGTTCTCTAAACCTAGTCAGTCAGTAAAACAAGACAAACCATTTGCTATTCACAAAATGTAGCGTGGTAACCAGGAGCCACCACTAGGGGCAGCGTTGCTTACTTGCTAACACAGATAGCTTGTTTCCATTTTGCTAGTAACAGATTTTAAAATTAAATTTGATTGAAGCACACAAGGCCGGCAAAAGGTTAACAGCCATAGCATTATTAGATTAAATGTGTGAGTATAAATTATTTTTCTTTTAATCCCAAACTTCAACGTCTCCATTGGGATTTACATTTTTAATTTATAGGAACTGGAAATAAAATAAGCTCATCCAGCCTCACAAGTATCTGCCGAACAATCGATAAATAAAGATATAGAGATATATATACACACACAAATACAAACAACTTATTTTAATGCTAACAGAACAGTGCTAAGGGAGCTGTTGTGACCTCATGATTGTCTGTGTTGATGCTGACAAAAAATGTGTTGTGTACACTTTTATTCAATTTCTAATCAACTTTCCTCAGACATCTAACAATTACTTCAGGATACAACAATAATATTAAATTTCACAGCCAAAGGACTGCACAATTGAACCTCAATTCTAATGTAAGCTGACCCTCTTTGATCCAGTTAACAGTGTTAACCCCTAACCAATCAGCTAAAATCTACACAGATGGAAGACAGGTTTCGCCTCACCCTTCATAAGTATGCAGCCCTGATAAGTGTCAGTTTTCTGCATACTCTGCCTGACAGATCTAGTGCTAGACAGGCCCTGGGGCATGATTGGGAAGTGTTAAGGGGCATTCTAAGTATTTAAATAACAGTTAAAACAAGAGTGATACTATTTTCAATGAAGTCTTTGATATCTATTAACAAAGTAACAAACCAGTAATCAAGAACAAAGGGTTATCTATGTCATCTTTTGTTAAGTTGCACCTAATTAACCCTTAAATCACAGTAAAATACTTTTTGGGTTAAAAAAAATGCAGTTGTACACTGTTAATGATAATGATATCAATTTACAGAAGGAATCAATGTAAAAAAAAAATACTATGGGGGATATTTATCAAAGTGGTGCAATCACCATGGAAACCGATGGAATTAGTTGGAACATTCCACTGGTGAGTGTTCGTTTACAACTTTACGCCACTTTTTACAATACAGAAATGTCATGAATATCATCTTATGTCTTTCATAAGAGGACAGGCCTCAGTAGTTAATGATATTACAGTTTTAAAAAAACAGTGCCTACCTAGGCACTGGAATTTTGGTTAACCAAGACCAGCTGTCACCTGTAAAATACCTGCCTCTGTAGAGACATCGCAGTACACAAGATAAAAGATGATTGACAAACAATTGGGGAAGAATATAAGTCGTTTGGCTTCACCAAGCTGCATAATCAGTAAAGCTAATCAACTCTCCGCCCTATAACAACAGAATAACCCAGAGTATCCTATCAATTAATTTATACCTGTACAGTCAGGTTCCCCTGCAGCAATGCTCAAAGCCCAGACAGTGATGGAGGAGGGTGGGGCCTGTCTTGCTATGCAAAGGCGAGGCGGCGTTGGACAAACAGTGACAAAGCCAGTAAAATAATGCAGGTTGATTTTATATATTTTACCTGACACATATCCATAGAAAACTGGTTTTAAAATATAATGGATTTGCATTGTCCCAGTGAATAAAGCAGTGTTTATTTGTAATTATCTACTTTTGGTAGATTCTAAGACAACCGTTCACAGGTAGTAGCATACACCACAGCACTATACTGAATATTTCTACTAGACAGACAATGATCTTTCTGTTCATTCAACAAGCGGGTCATATTTTTAAATATATATAATTAAAACACGGTTGGTTAAAGCACAGTTTGACTGACAGCTGTGACCTATTTTCAGGGCAACTCAGTGCCCTGCCTGAGATTAATGGGAGTTGCATTGTGGGAAACAGTTGCCGCCATTAATTTGGCTTAAGAACAGCATAAACGCTATATTTGTACAGAATCAGGCCCACCAACCTATTTAGCTTTTTTTTTTTTGTAAAGAAGCAGGGTACAAAGACCATATATTAACTCTCTGTGACATATCTATCATTGTTTAAATTACCACTCCCTGACCCACTTTCTTTTCCCAGACAATTGGCAGTCTCTGCTAACCCACACCCATTTATACAGAGAGAGTCATTTGCTGCATAGAGGTGATAGAAGTTGTAGTACTAAATGAATAAAGTAGTGCAGGTTACACTCGATGGATGTGGGTAAGGAAGGTTAACCTAACGTAATAATAATTCTGCTGTATATGTTTATGTCTTAATTGGGTTAACACAAGCACTTGCTGCCTTAAGGAAAGGTACAGTATAATTGCTTCATTTACATATAAACGAATGGGGATCAAAGGGCTAGTGAAATATTCACAGAAGTGGGCTTTGGTTCAAGTGATATAATCTGATATGATGCAAATCCATTTGTTGTGAGGCCATAGTTTTCAGCAATTTTCAAGTCAGTCTACAGTGTTTTTTATTTCAATGTTTAATGTGTTCCTCTACACCACAGGAAAAAAAAAAAACCTTCACCTTCCAGCAGTCATTCTAAAATTAATGTTTAAGGAAATGATAAAGAAAATACAAGCATGAACTTCAGGTTTGTATGAAGCTGTGATTGCAAAATGGCCACGTAGCTTCATGTTATGCGTCTTATTATCAACAGAACAAGCAAGCATTGTTAGGCCACAGGCCTTAGCAGCCACACTGCAAGGATGACCTCTCTATCGTCCTAAAGCACTAGGATACGAGACTAAATGAATGTCTTTTGAAATATGTATTGAGCTGCCTCGCAATCTAATCACAGCATGATTTCTTTAGAAGATAAAGATCAGGACTGAGGTGGCTAAAAGGTGTTAAAATTGACATCTTTTGAGTATTTGAACAGGTTTCTTAAAATGCTCTTTAAATTATTGTTTTCCATGGAACACTTGTGTTGACAAAGGTATTTGAATAAGGGTATAAACAGAGGGTGCCCAAAAGGAAGATCCCACATGTTGTAGAACTACAACTCCAATGATGCTTTGCATGCCTAAAGAATGTTTTTAGAATGACAAAGCATCATGGAAGCTGTAGTTTTAAAACACTTTGGGATCTACCTTTTGAGTATCCCTAGTATAGAATGAATAAGCATTGAGAGATGGTAAGATTGAATACATGTATTAAATGCCATGGTATGTGTGCATGTCTAGCTGAAGCAGACGTTATGACATTACGGCCTAGCAGTAAATATCTAATATGTGTGCATTAACCAAGATTGCTTTTAAAAACATATCACATACAGAGAAACACTTTTTAAATACATTTTCCATTAATATCAGGACATCTAATTAGCCTTAAGCAGGCTTTATTCCATTCTGAGGTAAAAACTGGGTAGGATAGGCCTTTCAAAGTCAAACAAGAAAGAAAGCTGGCAAGATTTCCCAAACCAAAATGGCATTTACTAGTGAGTACATGCTAAGTAAATAAGAAAGTCATATCTTCTATACGGCTTAATTGCACACCTAAGCTTAAACCAGACTGATTTGCTGACATCACTGCTCCTGCTATCTGCGGGAGAAGGCAGCTCACAGTGAGAGCGTGATTAAAGCCCCTCACTGAGACATCATAATACCTACTGCTATTATATATTCAATCTCCAAATCTTGAGAGATCTACATTAGTTGCAGGCGTGTATGCCAAAAATAGCTTCATTTCTCCAGACTTACTTAGTGTCAGTTTCAATAAAATGTATTTCAGCAACATACACGTTTACACTGCTTCTCTGTCCCACTGTATTTTCTAACATTTTGTTCATTCAGAAGGGGTTTACTGAAGTAATCATTTGTATATCGGATTCCTCTTTAATACCTGCACCAGACAGGGATGTGTATTGGTTAGCCTGCTGTAGAATACATTATAAGTAATATATATAAAAAAAAAAAAAGTAGTTTGAGAAACCAAGTGATATGGTTATTTGCTAAACTGGGAATTGTGTTGAATTGACCAGAGAATTTACACATTTTAGGCTCCAATAAACTAGCTATTTTTAAACTGGGCTATTTTGGCCTAAACTGTGCAGTTCCCTAGTCAATTCCGAATCATTTCCAGTTTAGTGAATAAACGTTTGCTTATTAACCTTTTCAAGTTAACCACAGCATCTCCTTTCATATCTCCTAGAGCAGGCATAGGCAACCTTGGCACTCCAGATGTTTTAGACTACAACTCCCATGATGCTTTCCCAGCATTATGGGTGTAAGAACATTATGGGGATGTAGTCCACAACATCTGGAGTGCTGAAGGTTGCCTACCCCTGTCCTAGAGCAGGGTTCTCTAAAGCTAGAACTCCCATGATTCTCTGACTATCTGTTTCATTCAAGAATCGTGGGCCTTGTAATTCAGCAACATCTGGGGGACCAGAGTTTGGAAAAACCTGTAGAATGTAAGCTCCTTCGATCACAGCCCTCATTCCGGGGTCTGTCAGCATAATTATGGTCTGCCAAATTCTGTTAAATATCCCCAAACTTTAATTGTAAAGCACTGCGGAAAATTTTGGAGCTGTATAAATGCTAATAATAATAACACTTGGAAAAATATGACATGATAACTTGGGAATTCAAGGCCGAGTTGGAAATTGATGTTTATTACATAGCTTACATCAGCTGCTTTGTAATTAACAGGTATAAGCGGTAGAGAAATCCATTGAGTGGGTTGGTCACAGCTGCCAGAAATGAAAAGGTTTTGCACTTTGGAACCGATGCTCAAACTGTTCACAAACAAACAAAAACAAATCCCTGGTTACTAGCACATACTAGAATGCAAATATCTAAAGATTACTATGTGCTATGTCAGAGATAACCTGGGTTATTGAAATAAAGTAGTGAATAGTGAATCACAATAAACACAGACAAGATCCTATCAAAAGACAATTCAGTTACTTCCACCTTTTGCTATAACAGATGTCACCATACTATTGTGAAAACGACGACATTTTAACAAAAGGATAAAAAAGGATCTTCAGTTGCCACATGAATTTGACAAGATAATGTTCTCTGTGCAACCATCTATCCCTGTTCCTCAGATATTTTTTTTTTGTTAAATCTCATCATTGAAGCATCAGAAAAGCATGCTCATTAATGAAAGCTTCATTACAGCTATCAACCTCTAATTTTGTTCAAAGGGTGATTGATGTAATATGTTCTTCTTCCCTTGTTAAGGATTTCATCTACATTTTTCTATGCTTGAAAACGCAAGAATGCAGTTTTACTAGCTGCCAGGTCTTATGGATTGTACGAAGCTGTAAATGAATGCAGACAAGTGAGTAACATGGTATATCGGCTTGCTTCTGATTCACTGTAGAGAATACATAAAAAGGATTGCCAAGCACCTAATGACTAAAATTATGTTTTTTTTCACTAAACAGTGATTTGTAGTGCATTGACAACAAACTGGCAACAGTAAAATGTTAAAAGCTTAGGTGGTAAAAAATATCCAATTAGGCAAAATAAGATAATTTTTACATCACTGCTTTTTTGGCCTAAACGTTATCTACATACAACCACAGTTTATCTTACTGGACAAAAAAAATGTGCATTTTTAAGTACATATTGCTGATGTGATGTCAGAAAAATGCAAACTCAAAAGCCACTCGGGGAAATTAGAGGACCTTTCATTACATCAATGCTTGACGTACAGTAAACTGTTTGATAGACCTACGCATGGGGCAAAGCAATAAAGTTTAGTCTTTTGTTACATGACTACCATAAATGTGCAGCAGTGTGCATTTCAAAGGCCAAAATAGGCATCAATGCATGTAGAATTCTCTGTTCTCTATGCCCCATAAATACTATAAGTGACTGGCCGCATGTTGAACCTTGGTAAGCCGCAAGGCACAGACATAGAAGTACAAAATAGAAATGATAGAATATATGTATACCAAGTGACTCAAACATATATATTTTTAAATGATCCTTTAACTGTAGTCTAGGTTTACAATCAAAAAAGTGTATATATTTTGGGTTAATGCAAAACAAATTGTCCGAATAGTAAAGGGAGTGATAGAACAGAATTCAAATGCTAATCTAAACATATTGGAAATGTAAAAATAAATGAGTATAGTACCATCCATGATTTTTTTTTTTTAGTAACTTTAATTCAATCCATTAGACGGGATGAGGTATTTGTTATCTTGACAACAAAAAAGGCTATGTAAGCTTTAGCTTAGTGCATTCCTTTATTTTTATCACACCCTTTACTGAAGACATAATTAAAAAATAATATAAATTAAAAACAAAAAAATTTAAAACTAAATTTACTCACTAAACAATGAATTGGAAACTTTAAAAGTGCAAATTAATCACAGAACTGGCCGTTTTGGCCTACATTCAGCAATTTCATCCCGGTATTCCGTAATTCCCCGTTCAATAAATAAAATCCAATATTTCATCTGGCATCATCAATACGTGTGCTCAGTGTATTTAAAACGTGAGTGCCAGGCACTCAATGTAGCACAAGAGTACACTATACATGTTAAGGAATGGTGACCATTTATATAATTCTTCTTTATAAACTGATGGGACAGAGGAATCATACATGTTCCCTTAAAAGTAATTTCATTGAAGCTTTCTCACAATGCACAATGACAGGGGGCAATATTAGGTTAAACTTAAAATGCTGGGTATCTGTTCTTCAATCCCCACTAACAAAGAGAGATGTAAAAAAGCTAGAAAGTTATCCAAGTCACCCTGCCAAGAAACATGATTTAATGAAATCATCTGAGACGCACTTAATCAAAAAAGTGTGTTTAGGATTATTCGTGCAGACAGAACAGTAAGTGTTGGCTTCTGTGTTTTTTTCTGAGTCTGAGATATCTTTCCATCATAAAGAATTCAGTTCTCCTAGCACACAAGCAATAAAACAACTACTCTTTATATCTCCTGCACCTGTAAGACCAAAGCTCAGCATGAGGTTTAAAAATCTCTTAAGTGTCATTTCTTCATGTATCTTGTGTCTACAGTGTCTGTGTGGAGAAACAAAAAGTGAAACAGTTTTACCCCGATTTTACTGCACTGTTTTCAGAGGAGCAAAAGTCAGGAAATCACCTCTTTTTATTGCATTACAGCATGAAACAGCTAGAACAAAGGAATGTCTGATGCATTTAAAGGCACATTAAGTGCTGTATATTCAGCAGTAAGTACCTCCCCTTTTATTCCAGCTGGCAAAAAAGATACATCTATTTCTCTATCTATCTCTATTGAAATATGTATTGTCTTTATTCTTAATTAGTCTTGAAACAAAGTTTTGTTCATTTCTTCTAAACGCGTATGAGAATCAAAGTGGTGTATTTATTAGTAACTCCAACTGCGCTGTGCGATATGCAAAGTTTGGCTCCACGTTTGAAATCAAGATTTTGTTTGTGTGAAACCCAATTTATTTTTCGATTCAGATAACACCTATACCTGCCCACCCTGTATGAAGATGGACTGTCTCCAAAAGTTCATTAAATAAGACCGACGGAAACTATTATATTATTGAGACGCTATAAACAATCACAAACAAACCAGGGTCTGTAAGTGCAGGCGTTGAGTGTCACGCATGCGTTTGAGGCATATCTCGTTCAGTGGAATGATGATGATGATGATGATGAACACTTTACGGCTGCTGTTGTATAACTATGAGCTAACAAGGCTTTCTCTCATGCTGTTTAATCCGTACTCCCAAGTTGTGTGTACTCCTCGCACAATACCTAACAGCCCCAAGCCAGGCCTTTAGTTCCTCCAGCACGCTTTTCAAAAATGTGTCACATCCAACATTAAGCTAATCTATACGTTGCCATGGTTTCAACTCTTCATCTTTCTTTACATTTTTAGGTACTGCACAGATTTACCATATTTTTTTCTCACATGGAAGACAGAAGTAAATGGCTTTTTTATTGCCATACAATCGGATTACTGCTGTTGGTTTCTCTATGGCTCTTTTCCACGTTTCAATCAAAAGGGATCAGTTTATTTAGACTTTGTCCTTGATTTACATTACCCCTTTATAGATAGAGTCTGGGTTGTAATCCTTATTAACTATGACCATGGGCTAATTTGCTTAAAAATAAAAGCAAATTGTGTCAGCTTTGTTTTTTAAAATAAAAGTAAAAAAAAATAATGTATTACTATAAAAATTTTTTTAGAGATTTCACACCATTAGCATGGTACTGAATGTAAAATTAGAATTAAACAAGTCCAACAGAAAAGCTGTTTAAAAGTTTTACATTTTCCACCATGAGAGAAGGGGTTTGATTTTGTTCACATCTTTTGTCTTCGTGAGCTTTAAAGAGACAATGAAGCCACAGGGGTTTTTCAAGCTGTTCGAATACTGACCACTTCCTTTATATTATATACCATAAGGGAAGGAGGGAAAAAAAATCATGCAAGTAAAATGTGGAAAGAAGTCTATGGTTCACATATCTGATTCAAAATATTTTAAACACTTGAACACACCCATTTTAGTCCACAGAAGAAAAAAAAACATACAAAGAATGAACTTATAAGCAAGTCTGCAAAACTGTACCATAGATATCCTGAAAAACAGGTTTTTACTTATGTCAGCCACCAAGGAAGGAAAAGATTAGGCCTACATGAATAATAATAAGAAATAGCTTTCATGAAGGAAAGTTTCTTCTAATTTTCAAATAGGCAACTCAGCTCTTACACATAATTGGCAGGAACAATGCCCCTAGTTCAAGTGTGGTATAGAACAATATACACATATGTTTAAAAATAATCACAATCACACAAAGAAATATATACAAAGCTCCTCATACACAGCTATGTTTGAGTGTTGCGAAACTGTTCTCTGTTTTTTTTAAATCCAACATTAGCAGACATAGTAGCAGGCCGAATACCGGGTTTATTAACTAAAACGTGTTTTGCAGCAAGCCTACAGCTAAAACGTAAACCAAAATAGATTATTTAAAAAAAAACTCTCTAGCTTCATTGAGTTTTACATTGGTTCTAAGTTGTCTATTTACAGCTAAGTGCACTAAAAAGACACTATTCAGAGAGTAGACCCCAAGGTACATTCACATGACTAACTAGAGAGGAGTAAATACCAAAATGTACCCATTTTGGTATTTACTCCTCTCTAGTTAGTTTCAAAAAGCAGAAATGGCTGTTTTTAACTTAATCACTTGTTGTTGCTTACGCATTTAGACACATATCCATATATATTGTGTTCATTTTACACTCTTCCTTGTTTTCTCTGCAATTATGACCACTTTATTAGTCAAGCATGAATAGGCTTTGCATCTGCAATTAGTGCATATTAAGAAGGCTAAATACTTATTTATAGTAGATGAGTAGGTCTCTGAATTTAGTTCCTGTACACCTATTACACCCTTGGTCTGCAAACTGTTTTCGTATTAAAACTTAACAAGACATTTTAGCAAATGTGGAAGAGTTGGGAATAAAACGTGTCATAAACCTCATTTAGTGTTAGCTAGGTCATGCTATATTAGCATAGCTTGCATCAATTCTAACGATACTCTAATTTTATCTGCATCAAATGACACCAGACTAAACTGATATTATAATGATTCTTCTATACCTCTGCCCACTGTACAGTGCTACACACTATAGTTTTTCTCTTTATAAATAATATCTGTATTAACAACTTCTCTTGTTCATTTCTTCCATCTTTGTGGATTAGATCTAAAATGTACATAGATTTCATCACCATAATGGATTAAAATCTTTCCTTGCATCCTGATAAATCATGTATTGTCTGTGTATTAAAGTATCCCTTTTGACAAAACTACACCATCTGGTGAGTAGAATGACTTTCTTTTTATGTTCTGCTTTTCTCTGCAGCATTTGATACTTCTGCATAAGGTTAAAAAAAAATAATCAATTTTTGAAATTGCTACTGTGAGATGCAGAGTTATTGTGGCATGTACCTTTAGCGTAATCGACTTTTTTTTTTTGCTTTCCTGATATATGAAAACATTTAACGTTAGTATGTGGCCTATTCCTGAAACAGCTAGCTTACGTGGTATGAGAACAGACTTTAGGCTAAAATAGAAAATATATATATATACACACACACACACACACACACGGTTCAGGCCAGTTGAACATGTTTTTCTGTCTCTGCTATTCCAGCTTTACTTTTATAATTATTTTTCCTGAGTTGTTGAGGTACTAGATACTAGAGTTGGGGCACCAGCTACCTATGTTATCTCACCAGCTAATGCATTTATCTCACCAGCTAATGTATGTATCAATCATAAATTAATGACTTATTATTATTATTATATTATTTATATAGTGCCAGCAAATTCCATACCGCTGTAAAATATCTATATGTTTAACATTGAAATTATAGTAAAAACAAACAAACAAAAAGCTTTTAAAAAAAATTCAGCAATTAAATTTTTTTTAAAAAGATAAAGAGATATTTAGGAAAGTTGCTGAACAGCAGTATTTTGACTAGAACCAGTTAAACAAACAGATCGATATCTATGGTGAGTAAGGCCTGTGAATTACCCAGGAATTCTCCATCAATCATGACAGGTAGGCTCCTCCCTACCAGTGTCGCATCTTGCCGAAACATAATCAATAACTATTAAAAGTGATTTTAAAGTAATCTGATAGTAAGGTAAACAGAATCAAAAATATATATACTAAAATTAGGGGAAGAAAATAAAATGCCTTTGTACATTCTTTATTTCAAGGCGTACTGAATATTCCAAACTAGAAAAAAGTTTCGGACAAAGCCCAGGAGCATAAAAAACATAAAAATATAGAAAATACTGCAGTTCTGACTGTCAATAGTTATAATAATAATATAAAGACAATTACAGAACTAAACAAAGTGCTTTACCTGAGTGAGGCATTGAGATAAGAGCTTTGGAGATAATTGGTAAAGCTAAAGTAACAATTAAACCCTAGATGAACCTTACCATACAAGATGAAGAGGATCTGAATACCTAAATCTCAACTACTGAGTGTCTTGAATGTCAGTAATTTACCTGTGATAATTCCGAGCTCAGGTGATAGATTTGTGTGAAAGAATAATATTAAAAAGAGTGTTGCTTTAGTTCATTAAGTGGTATCAGCAACATTCTGGGTGCTCCGGAATTAGAGACAAGTGCTTAGCAAATCACCTAAGCTTCTTCTCTTGTTTCTTTAGATTTAAGCTTTAATTGTGAGGGTTAAAAGGGCCATCCCAAGGGAAAGGATTCCTAAAGAAATTCTTGTCTACAGCAGTTTAACATTGACTAAGATATGGTTTCAGCGGGCACTTTGTTCAAGGGCTGGCTCAGTTGTCCCTTACCAACAAGGGCCAATAGCTCCAGTTTATCATCCTGACAAAATGAGAGGAATGTGCGTGTAAAAGTGCTCAAAATTCCACCTCCTGGTGTGTCCCCTTTTATTTCCCTTCTATATTAAAACCGACAAGATTAACCTAAATGCAATCTGTAGGTTAGAGTTCAAGGGGGTATTCACATAGAAATGAATGTGCATTTGTTTATGTACAAAATCCCAGCTCTTAAATACAACAAACAGCATACTAAAACATACATAGAGCCAAAAACTTTCTTTTAGTGGACGTAACCAGATTGTTATATAATATTACTAACAAACCCTTTCCCTGATGTAAACAACACATTTTACATTCTTTAATAATACCCTTGAAAATTCTTGCTTTCTGAAAAACCGATTGAATTATTAATTAAGCTGGGAACTGTTGGGAAATGACGAGGGTATTCCAAATTTCAAGTGAAAATAGCTAAAATTAAAAAAAAAAAAAAAGAATACCCTACTCAGCTTTTTTTGCCGCATGAATATATTGGCCTACTATTTCCACTTATGGGATCAATTCCTAACAATTCCTGGTTTGGTCAATAACCCTATGAAAAAAAAAGTGTTTGTAAGATTTGTAACTAATTTGTTAAACTTATTTAATGTAGATTAACCAAACACTAAAGTCGCGTTGGCCCACAACTAGATTAATACTATTTTAAACATTAAAATGCACATCAATATTTTTTTTTCCTAAAACGCCTTCTAAAATAGTTTTAGGATTCAGCAACAAAAGAGGTATCTGGGAAACTATATACAATGTAAATTTTATATTGTGCAGCACTGTTTAACTGTGAGTACATTGCATATCCATAATATTGGTTTCAAGGGCTAGACGGGAACATAAAAGCAACTCAGAGCAGGCGCTCAATCATCTAATTATATACAAGAGCAAAGGCATAATTTTATAAGTAGAAATGATCTGCGTTATCATCTTTTTATATTTCCTAGTCATATTAAATACTCTACAAGAAACCACTGTAGTGAAAAGCAATGATATTCATATTTAATCAGTAACGCCAAAGTAGAAAATGACATTTATTATTAAACGATATATTCCACTAAAATCGGCCTAATGCAAACAAGCGACAGCACATTTTAACTCCCTATTGACTGATTTTATTGCTTCTCTTATAGCCTGGTATAATTAATGCAAATAATCAGCAAGCCATCCAGATCACAGATCAAAAAAGGTGAAGACCTGATGTCAAAGGAATATCTCTACTAGATAAGTATGGGTTCTCATACTCTTTGGGGCCTAGCAAAATAAAATGTCACACAATCAATCAGCCTAGGATAAGTCTCAACATAAACACACAAGAAAATAAGACTCATGAACAACCAAAAGCAAAACAAATCTGGGAGAATTCTAATTTAATGGAATAGAGAAAACTAAGGGAATATTAAATAATTGAGATTAATTTTGAGTATTCACAAAACTGACATTTTCTAATGGATTCCTTAAAGGTTTGTAAACATGCAAAACAGCCTTATAACAAAAATAAATAACAAATGACCCCAAATATGATGAGATGATATAACAATTGAATGTGAAAGGTTGAAACGCAAGTGTAGCTAGCCCAAAATCTATTTCTAACAATGTGTATTGGTAGGGTGACCTCTGTAGGTATAAACAGATCAGTGTTTTTACTTCCTCCATTTAGTCTAACCAAAGCTTTAAGAAAAAGGGGATTTACACAGATAAATACATTCAGTTCTGCAAATACTAATAGATTAGAAGATATTTACAAAACAACCAGATCCTGTAGGGGACAATTCAGAATGCAACATAGATGTTTTAAAGGTCTATTAAATCTCAGTCAGCTTGTTCTTTGTTGAAAGGGGGCAGCACACTTTATAAAGTACTGGTGTTAACATCCTATATAATAACCCTTTATGTGAGGGAAGTATCTATGGATTATGACATTTTAAAATCATAGTTTATCTATAATTACAACTTTACAGCAAGATACATCAGATGTCAAACTACCAAGAGTAGGACTCTCCTATACATGCCTTGCTAATCTGTGTTGTCCTTGTGGGTGAGCAGAGAATGACAAATGTAAAATATTTCTAATTAAAAAAAATAGAATAATTATTCTAAAATAAATCAGTTAAGTAATTCCAGGCTTTCAAGAGCTGGATTCTAAGCCGATATGTTTTATTTTGACATAAGAAGCTATTCAGTTCATGCATGATTCTGCTCATTTTCTCAACGAGTGAAACATGAAGCTTTAAATAAATAAAAAGCAGAATCCTCATAAGGATCCATGCACGCCTTGCCTTGTACCGAAGAGGATAAAAACCCTGTCTCTAATCTGCCCACATTAACTTTCTCTCTCAGAGGGTTCATTGCATTTTCTACACCAAACCTGGGTTCACCTTGTGATTGCACTCACTTCTATCTGCTTCTACGAGCAAAGAAAGCTGTAACTACTAACCGATGCTGATATAGAAAGGTATAAATGTGTATACGCACACACACAATCATATACACACACATTCATGTATCCATATTCCTATCCATATACACAAATACATTAAAATACAGGGACCTCCTGCACTCAGGCTAGCAATGCCCCAGGGTTTAAACTAGGCTAAAAAAAAGACAAAACAGAGTGAGTAACACTTACATGTATCCCTAAATATCAGTATCGATATGTGCAGTGTATTACTCAGTGTTTCAGTGGCAACATGTAACTTTTCAGGACCACAGAAAGTTCTGTTGTATCTGCAACGTTAACCCATATATAAACGGTAGTGCTATTATAAATATAAAATGTTAGCCAATATATTTGTTTTGCCTATTTCATGCTGAGTGTATTTATACAGGCCCACAAGGATACTGAGTGATCTGTATAAGGTACACAACACATCTAGATAGATATATCTACATGATGTATACGCAACTATAGATATATTCAGTATACACAATTTTAAACGAGAGAAATCTCAATGCATCATTCTGGTGAAACCATTTCTATATAAATATGTAAAAAATAAAATTAAAATAATAATAAAAAAATATCTGTAGTGCTTATGTTTTATAGAATGGGGTGTAAAGTGCAGGGTGTCCCTAACATCTTGCAAGCTCTGAGAAAAGAAAGTCACACCAGAGAACAACAAGACCAAGTAGAGATCGACCTCCTCTACCTGGGATTGTATTACACAGAGACTAATCGGGGACTCTCCCGGCACATCCAGCCCTCAGACTGCCTACTACAAGCCTGTATTCAGTGCCCATGGAAGTAAGCCAAGTCTGAATGGGTTGCCGTATATCAGAGTCATTGGGCTGCCAAGAGGAGTCCCCAGCCTGGAACTGATTAATGGCCTTCAGCTTGCTCGCTGTGAAAGCTTCAAGTCAACTAGTTGAACGTGTGATGGGAGGTCTGAAGGGGAATTTAACATATAACGTAATAAAAGCACACGGGTTTTAGGGGTTTTGCTTATGAGAAACCACAAGATGACCACAGAGGTGTCCACTGGACCTCACTAGAGGGCAACCCCCTAATATCAATGTTAAACAGGGTGTCCAAACTGCGTAATACATGTCACTGAGCTCCGCAGCGGTAGCTGCTGATATAAGAAGATCACCTAGCGCTGTCTGAGGTTACCCCAGATCATTTTCCTTACCCCCCCTCCTTTCAAGGTCTGGGCATAGGGGAGCAGTGGACATATCTAGGTGCAATGCGGCTCCTGCTCTGTCCCTTAACGTCCTGTAACCCAGGGCCCTCAGACTGCAGAAGGTGGCAAGGTGTCTTCTTCTCGGGTATTTATTGGAGCTTCACATCCATCCAAAATGGTAGTATGAGCAAATCCACACCCTGGTAAGCGCTTTGGGGTTGGTGGATCGGTTAGTGCCCAGCATCCCGCCACTCCCTGTGCCCAGCGCTGCCCTCACTATAGGACATCCAACCCACCAGCCTCCTAATTGGCTCCTGGCTGGTAAAATAACATGTAACACTAATTTCCAATGAGAAAGTAAAATTCCACCCAAATCCAATACGGGGGGCCGTAAAGCTTGTCTTTGCATACAGTATTTAGGCATCAGATCCCCCTGTATGGGATCCATCACTGACAGCTAGAAGGAAATAATAATTCACACAGACTGGGGAGAGGAGCACTTACTTGGGGTTGGAGGAATTCCAGTATATAGGCTCTAACACTAAGGATCTGGAGATAGCAGTCCTGATCAACAGGATCCAAACTCCCATGCTGTACTTCCATAGAGAGTCCCTGCTGAACGCCATGCTGAGGGCTCACCCGATCCTGGGACCCTACACCCAGGAATGTGACGTGCAAAGCTGCTTCTAGCTCCTCTCAAACTCTCAGTAGAAGCAAAGGGGACGAGGAGAGAAAAAAAAACCACAGAGGGTGACAGTGAGTCCTGCACTGGTAGTGAAGGAGATCCAAAGGACAGTCCTTACTCCTGCTTGGTGTGTGGGTACTCCGGCTGGTGCAAGAAGAAAAACAAAATTAACTCCAAACTGAACACTCCTCTGCTTGGATACACTGTATCCTAAGGCATCCGAAAAAGCCACACGACGAGAAGAACATGGGGATCCAGCATCCGGCAGCAATCCCTTATTGCTCTGTAGGTGCCTGTTGGTCACCAAGATGATCCTCAGGAAACCAGCCCAGGATGGCAGAAGATGTGGATCAGAATCTGTGCTGAAGAATCAAACAGTCCATTGAGATGTGCATAGATCCCAGGCGAAACACTGGGTTAAATCCCACGGGTGGTGCTGCTCCTAGCAGTATGCAGTATGTGATGTGACTTGCAGAGCATGTATTGTACACACAGCCCGGATAGTGAGACTCACAGCAGCTCCAGATCCTACCGCAACTCGCTACTGAAACAAAGTAACAGCGGCTAGCACAACGTTCTATGCATATAAACCTGTCCCGCCCTCTCCGATCCGCGACTCTCATTGGCTGCCTCTAACAGAGGCGCGTCTGATAGGCTGCGCTCCACGTCAGTCGCACAGTGCAGGCAGAGATTGTCTGTTCTAGGGTAGACTATTGTGTGTGACAGGTATAGACCTCCCATACAATATAGCACCCTGAATGCTCTTCATTAATATTCATTACGTGACCCAATGACATCCACAACCCCATCGTCTAAACACACATAAATGCTTTACTTTGTGGCTTGTACTCTCATTCCATCTGATAGAAACGTTTATTCAGAGTAACAAGATTTCTAACGGTGTCATAAAAAGGAATTAGGAAGATAAACTTGTATTCAACTTCTGATTTACCGTTTATCTGATGGTTTTAATGAAATCTCTATGGGACACAATGTGTCATTGTTCTTGTTTGTTAAGGACTGAGTGTTAGAGGACATTGTGTGTTCTATGTGATATTCACGTATTTAAAAAAATAAAATAGAAAAACTACATTTATTGCAAACGTATACTAATGTACATTAAATATGCAATGTATCCACAAGATATACATATTATTGCATACAGAGAGAGCGGATAAAGGCACAATGTATTTTATAGAATATTATAGAAAATATATATTGTAACTACTATATTTCTTATTAACTCTATCTTTCTATCTATATTTTATATATACTTTATAACGCACGCGCGAATACCCAGACATTCATGTACAAATATATATAATTCACGCATGTACGCTATTCATGGTGTATTCACTGAATATTGACTTTGGGGTTTAAAATGTGTGAAACATTTGGGTTGAAAAACAATTTAGAATTTAAAAGCAAACTTAAACTAAGTTGCATTTACTAAACCGGGAACAGTCCAGAATTAACAATGCAATTGATAATTTTATTCCAAATTTTGAAAAAAAAAACAAACCAGCCACGTTTGCTTCTTTGCTACAAATTTCTAATATTTCAAATTATCTAGAAAACTTTCCACAATCCTCAGTTTGTTAAATAAACCCCCGAAATCTTCAACTCGGCCGAGCGGGGGATTGCTTCCATAATACATTTTTGAATAAGTACATTCTGAATGATTCACAATGTTTTGATGAGTTAGAAATAAATCGGTTGCCAACTCATCAAAAGTTGCTGAATAGTGAAATGAACCTGTATTTTTTTTTTTTTAATAACACCCACTAGCATTTTAAAATGACATAATCTGATTGTATGGGAACATATGAAGACCTTAATCACATATGTAAGTTAAAAAAAAAAACACTCTACAAAAAAGGCCTGTATAGAACAGACATAAATGGGGAATTACAAATATAATATTTAAAATATTTATAGAATAAGAATTATCCGCATTCATCATGTCCAGACAATGCTCCCCTGTCTCCCTCTAATTTTATTTACACAATACTTTAGCTGATGTGTCTCTGTGTGAACACTGCAGATCTAGATTCAAGGCAGCCAGGCTCCATGACCCTACAGGACTGACTAATAGCAGATAAATAGAGTAATGTCTCACACAGTCCAGCCAGAGATTGCAGTGAGTCCATCACATCCCAAGGAATCTGGGTCTGGAGCTGCTCTGACCCCTCCATCCCACATTTCTTCTCACATTGGGCTATAAAACTTTATTTTGTCAGAAAATAACCACCCTCTCTGGATAAATATGAGCTGAGGAAGTTAAGGTAATTTAAAAAGAGATCAGGATCCTCTGTGGATTGCCAAGGGAGGCCTAGATGGAAGTGTATCTAAAATATACATTGACGCCAGAGAGCAAGCCCTCCTTTAAACTAAATCGCCTTATAATGAGACTCTATTATGATAGGTGTGTTATTGTAAAATGGGATTTTGCTCCACTTAGTATAAACACTTTACAAAGAACTCTGCGGGTGCCTAATATGTACATCCTATCCCTTCCAGCACAATAAAATGCAACTACAGTATTCTCATTTTAAGTCCCCTTTTGATTTTATAAACAAATCACACTTTAGTGTCCACATAGCCCCCAGACACATAAAAGCTGGCGATCTGAGTAAACATGTAATAAATACTAATATTAAAGCTGTCAGTAAGTAGTTTGTAGGTCAGGATCTTTGGGAAATAGCCTATTTTCCAGAAAGGTCAGTATGCATACAGTGGGGCACCAGGTGTTAAAACAGGGGCCAAAACTGTCTCTTCATTTTGCCAGTGAAGCTTATTGCTTGTTCTGTGGCTGGGCTAATAGAGAACGTGTATGTGGAGCCGAAATCCTCCTATCTTTAACCTTCCTCTCGGGTTAGACAATCCAATATACAGTGGGATGAGGGGATAAAGGGATTGAAAGATTGAACAGAAAACATTCTATCTTTTCAGTCTTCACCTGGAAAAGTCACGATTCTTTACAAACATTGCAGAAGTGACAGAGAGAACGTTTGAAACGAGAACTTCGTAAAAAAAAAAAAAACCTAATGGAGAATTGTATTTGAACTTTTTTTTTTGCTAAATATAGTAATGATGTAATACAATAATACAATATACATTATATAACATTCTCAGGATATCAACTTCATATTTAACCCCTCACCTCCCTTAAATGGAGTGAAACAGGAGTCTTCTTTCTTGTGGTTAACTGGGGACAAGATATATATATATTTATTTTAAAATTATTTAATTTATTTTTATTAATTATTTATTATTATTTTTTAAATATTTTTTTTTAATTTTTATTATTTTAGAACACCAAATTTAAAAAGTATATTTACTCAAGTATGGGAAGGCCTAAGGTGTCTGTTATGAGAGAGCCCCGACTGAATGTCTACCTAGCAGACAAGTTTCCCAGTCCCCCCCCCCGCCGGCCCCCCTGCATGCCTCCCCCGGCCCTCTCCCATCCCCTGTGGCCTGTTTAATTTACACAGCGCAGTGCAGCCCAGGTCTGCACATTGTCACACATAGCAGTGTCAGTTTTTGCGACAAGCAAAGAGGTGATACAAAAAAAATTCTAGCACAGATCCTGGCTGCTCCCCTCAAGTGCTTTGCACCACGTCTGGGCACTAATCTCACTTTGTCAAGAGGTGTCTTAGTGGAGGGGATAACAGGCATACCAGCATTTTATACCAGCCCTGTGCAATCAGCTAGAAGGGGTTAGGAGCAGGAAAACAAAATGTTTATTATTTGTATTTATTCTTGATTTTTAACATGCACTATATTTATTTGTATAATTATTAACATTTAATAGACATGCAGTATATTTATTTTGCATGCTGCAAGGCATTACTAACACTGTCTCCATGAGAGTGAAAGAGAGAGAGACGTGGAGAGGCTTGAGAAAGCTCGGCTCTGCAGCTGCAGGTTTAGTGGAATATCTGCTCGGGCTCTGAGCTGGCTCTTTGCTTTTACACGGAGTCACAGCGCCCACTAGCGGTTAATTTGCTCTCACGGTCTGCCTGTGCAGCGGCTCCGCGCGGTCCTAAAACGCATCATGTTTAACATTAACCATTTCGATAAATCAGCACAGCTCACAAACCAAACAAAACGTATAATCCAACACTAGATTGTACTAATTTACAGTGAAAAAGGTGTGAACCATAGACTCATAAAGTATACGACCATGGTAAATTGTATGCATAAAGAATATGCAAACAGGGAGATATATATGTAAACGATTATAACATATAATAATATTATTGTGCACTTTTTATCACATACATATGCATATTAAATAAATTCAATGTATAGTTATCAAGCTACTAAATAATTCTGATGGGAGTTATTTTGCACAACATGTCTATGTCTCCTATTGATTTATAAGGGGTTTAAATATAGGAGTAAACATGGTGAAAGGAACGGAAAACATATGCATTAGGGGGTCTCTGTGTGAACAATGCGCTTTATCTGTTCCCTAATCCTAAATCTACAATGTTTAGAGTGGTATCCAGCCTGGCTGATTGTACTCAGGATATACAGGTACAATGCTCTGCTCTTTCCCCCCATTCTATTTTGATGTAATCATGTTTGAGTGACAGGAGATAAGAACAAAAGATTATTCTATGAAGGGTGCACAGAACATTCTAATATGGATAAAAAGGGAACTTGCCAGATATCATTGGTATTGGAGTCTAGTCTTAAAGTCCAAATTGTCAAGTTAGGTTTGAAGAAAAGTTGATTGGCAACAAAACATTCTCAGGATATCAACTTCAAATTTAACTCCCTAACCTCCATTAAATGGAGTGAAGCAGGAGCCTTCTGTCTTGTGGTTAACTGGGGACCACATCAACACAAGTCTCTATCTGAAAATAAATGTAATAGATAAAAGAGTAGGACAGTACATCAAGCACCCCCATTAACCCCTTAAGGACCAAACTTCTGGAATAAAAGGGAATCATGACATGTCACACATGTCATGTGTCCCTAAGGGGTTAAACACAGAAAGGAGGAATACATGGGGTGGCTCTTGTCTAATAAGACAACTACTAGAAAGCAGGGGACACAGTGCAATATTATTGTAGTATTTTTTTTCTTGCGTTGTGAAATTTGGTGAAACTGCTCAGACAGTATGGCTTGCATAGCATAATGCATTTTCATCAGTAGTGGTTTGACACACCTCTAGCATAGTGAGAAGAATCTTGTTATCCCATGCAAACTCCATCACATTCTGAAAAAGTGGGAATATATTTGAAGGCTTAGATCATATTGCCATATGGTTCTTCATTTGCCTAATCATTATTGAACATTTCTTTGATGCTCTGTGAGGGCTATTCACTGATGTTTCAGGAAAGGTTGAGGGGCTGCTATAATCAGACATATATTTGGGATAAATGTCAATATTAAATATATTTGTTTCGTAACTGGCCCCTGACAATTTAAAGTTTAATCAATGAATAAATAAAAGTGCCTGTCTGCCAACCCCCCTCCCGCCACCCACCACTGTAAACAATACTTTTTGGGAGAACTTAGAAGGGGTAAGTTATAAGGCCTCC